TAGTCATATATTTAACTGATTATATGTTTACAAAGACTTGCTGTGATATTACTGGAATATTGCTAAAAGCGGTGTAAAACTAAACTCACTCACTCACACTTAACAAAGACTGTTTGCAGTCTGTTACTTTTGCCAATAACTTAAGCCCAAGCCAAGTCAATGTTCCTAGTCAATGATGAACCGGTGATCACACTTGCTATATATTATCTCCTAAATTGACATAAATTAAACAGAAAGACAATTTGGTTAAGTAGGCACATTTCTTTTGGTCATGAACTGTAGTCAAATTTTGAAGTGCTCTCATTATAACCAAGTGTGTAGGTGCCGGTAATTCCAGTTGCCAATGACAGTCGATGGTGTAACATTCTTGAACATAACACACTGTCAATATTCTCATATCCCTGTAAAAATGTTTTAGGTACATGATGATGATGATGATGATGATGATGATGATGACGATTATTATTTCGCACATTGTTCCATTAGTAAAGTTTCAACAAAGGAAAATTAATTTAATTGCTGAGTTTCGTTGTGTACAAGGAAAGGCCAGCATACTTTGCTGTGTTTGTTTACTTGTGATCGTACATGAACAAACATGTCAGAAGTCTGGGGACAGGTCAAAGGTCATGTCACATGCCCATTGTGTCCCCAATTCGTCATTAAACAAAGACCTTCAGGGTCAAAGACATTTGCGTATCTGTGATATCAATGGACATATTGACCTGATAAATATGTAATCTTTAATTCAGGTTTTAGAAAGTAAATTTGAATATTCTTGAATGCAAGATATAATAATGTAAGGATTTTAGTGTTTAAGAGATTATCGAGAATTTAGAAGGTTTTTTCAGTCAGTCTTTTTTCTGTTAAAGTTGTAACACAATTTCAAATCTTGAAGGAAATTAAAACATCGAGCATCCTGATGAAACTGGCAAAATATCTCACCAACGTGATTGGTGATAAAGATGGTTCTTTCTTCTGTAAATTTGTGTTCTAAAAGGTGAAAAAAGCACTTCACAGATTTTGGAGAAAAATAAAAAATGAATGTTCAAAGATACCCCTTATGATTGGTGATTATCCTCCTATCAGTCCAGATAGATATTAGCAGGCATATTTAAATGCAGATTGCATAGCAGTTATTCATGCAGTTTTGTTGAATCAATACAGTGTAGGAGAAATTCCTTCCCATGATGCTTGTCTCTGATGGGGCCCGCGTGTATTACACTGATTAGTACAGAAATGAAGGTCACAGCGACATTACTCATAGTCATTGTGGGATGAGGCTTGCAATACTCATCAGTTCAGTTTGTGCTCACGTGAAATGGGCAGAGAGCCAAATTGATAGCAAGATTTAGTTTTGGTGGAGGATATTTGTTTAAATAATTAATTATTTAAGGAATTTGAATCCTTTTCTTGAGATGTTGTTGGCAGGCAATGTTTCTTTTTCTTAGTTTCAAATGGAATTGCTTTAGATTTATTATGGTGGTACGTGGAATGAAAGCTCTGCTTATTAACAGTCTAATGTAACTGAAACAGTTCAGCAGATTACAGGATTGTTGTCTCCTTTAAGATCTCAGGGCAAATTGTGTATCATTTATATGTCTTCTAGCTCCTGAACAGGCTCAATTTGTAGTTTAAGCAGGGGTGGAAATAACCCATTGCCCGACGTCCGAGTCCAGTGTTTTTTTCTGTCGGGCAAGCAAATTTGTATATCACGCTGTACTGGTGTCCAGTTGACTTTCCAATGTTAATTATGTTGTTCATTTAAAAAATCAGCAAGAAAACAGTCGGTATAGTGGAAAAAATATCAGGGCAAGTGACTTTCCATATGCCACTGTACCAGAGTACACTATCAATTATAAACTTATTTCCACCCCTGTTAAGAAACCATGATGTTGAACTTAAAGCTCTGTGTTATCATGCATTGGTTCAGAATGGAAGAAAGCTTTCCAATATTTGTCTTTCTGACAATTTATTTTTGTGATCATGTGTGCCAGTTGTTTCCTTAGTGAATGAATCTTGGCTGAAGACATGTTTGGGGTCCTGAGAATCAGGAAAAGTTGCAGGTTTCTAGGAAAGAGGGTGGTCGAATGGTTTCATGAGCTTGTACACAATCAAGTTACCAGGAGTCATTTCACAGTAGAGATAAAGTGATTGATGCCTTCTTCGGGTCACTTGCAGATATATTGCTGGTAGTATAATACTGTAATACTATGTTCTCAATGTGAGCAAGAATAGATTGTGTGGGTGTCATAGGTCATATATTGTGCAATAGTTTTGATCTGGATATTTTAAACTTGTAACCTGAAGGCATGATTGGGTTAATCAGATATATTTAGACAGTAATGGTACCATTGTGGTGATAGCATTAAGTTGTCAGTCTGGGTTTGATTCTCCACAAGGTTTCAATGTTTGGAGTTTATATCTGGTGTCCGGTGGCGTGATGTGGCTGGAATGTTACTATAAAAAAGCAGAGTAAGATCAATGTCTTATAATTACCTGTTTTCAACATTTTTGGTAAATGCAATTCTGAACCCCTTTAAAACATTTATTTTTGGTGCCCTGGAATTATTTCAGGAGTATAGTTGATCTCTGCCCAGGCTGTTGAGAATGTGGGATACTGTAGATGTGTGTTAATGTATGTGACCTTTACAGACATGTCTACATGATCAGCTGCCTCTGAACTTGTGGCTGTTATCTTAGATTGACTTGCCGGTACCCTTTTTGCTTCTCATAACACCTCACCAGAAACATTTAACCCCCAAAGCCCAACCAACTGAACCATCAAATCTTCTGTCTTTGATAAGGGTTCTTCACACCAAACATAATCATTTTATTGGTTTGTGTTTAGAGATTTGTAAAGTTGGTAGAGCAGGAAAGTAAAAGTTAATAGGGGTTGTATTGATTTGAAACATAAGTATCAATGTGTCAAGTATCTAACATTCTTGATAAATAACACAGTAACAAATTCTGAATGTGTTCAGATCAAATTTACCAATGTAACCCATTTCATGCTAAATATGAACTTAGCAAATCCATTAAATGTGTAAATTTGAATTTTTAATGTAAAGGTTTCTCTGGCATTGAGTTAATGATAAGAGGAATGATATTTGTAAGTTGTATAGATTTTAATTGATACCAAAAGTTACTGTTCAAACTAATGTGATATATGATGAGGCCCCAGGTTTTTCAGGGTTTTTCTTGTTACAATGACTGAGTCGTGATACAGTATTTTGTTCTATTCATGCTTGTAAGTCTACATACTATGTATGGCCACTGCTTACAAAAAGTTCTTGCTACCTACACAGGGATAGAAATACTTTTTTTTCTAAGTGTGCCTCAGGGCACCAGACAAATATTTTAGGTGTGCCTTTCAGAAATCAAGTATGCCCACATGTTTTTAGAATATATGACAATGATGATGATGATCATTGGAAATTAATTGTTAATTGAAGAAATGGGTTTATGAGCATTCAAATATGTATGGTATTATTCAGTTTTGAAAAAAATAATTGTTTGGGGGATTAAATGACTAAATGTGAGTTATGTCTCTAAAAAATTAGGCGTGTCAAAAGGGCACCGAGAGCATTTTTCAGCCTTGCCATTTCAATATTTACTGTGCCATGGCACACTAATATATGGGGTATTTCGAACCCTGCTACATGTTACTGAAGTCCACATATGATTCTGGAACAGACTTATACTAAAAGTTTCATCAATGATTAGAATAAGATTTGAAGACTTGGCCAATAGAGTTTTCAGTCTTCAGGTCTGTCATCCTGATCTGGATCAGATGATGCAAGTAGAATTAATATGGAAGATGTATTGTTAACTACATTTTATCATCAGTCAATGATACCAACATGTTGCCTCACCCTCTAGTATTCCAAGTGACTTTATAGGGAGTTTCTGAAATAAGTTCACACCAGAATTTAAAAGAACTTATACCAGTCAACAGAACACGTTATACGTATCTCATGACTGTATGAGAGACTCGGGGATTGCTGTCAGATATCTGGTCGATTGCTTTGAATCCGGACACTTCATCCTTTTCTGTAACTCTGTGGATTGTAGCAGCAAGCTTGTGTGTCAAATGATTTTCAATCAAGGTTTGCAAGGCTTGAAAAGGTTTTGAATTTACAGCCCGGCCTTGAAAGGACCTTGACTTTGAGTCCCACTTGAAAAAGTCTCTAAAATTCTATGAGAGACCTTGAAAAACATTGAATTTAATAACCACTGTGAACTCTGCTGCTTAATGAATATATTAGAGTTATGTTTTTCTCTTATCATGCTCTTAATCCTAATTTAGCAAACAAAAAATTATCTTGTATCTTATCCAGAATATTTTGACATTAATGTGTTGACTTAAATATTTTGATTTGATGTGTATTTACTTTCACCCTGGGAAAGGCCTTTGATAGCCTTAATTTTGTGGCTCATACTTTGCATGAATGATTTCAATCTTGTTGATCTCGGTGTCATACTGATTATGGTTGTATGTACCCAGCAACTCATTGTCAGAGATAACTCATTTGGGAACACATCAGGATCACTGTGTTCAAATTGGTAACTAGAAACAACTTGTAAGAAGCAACTCAATTTACCAGCTGTTCAGACTAGTGGACTTAAGCATGTCAGTGTAAACTGACAACAGTGATCGTTCCGCATAATAACAATCAGGTGATTGTCAGGTCCAGACATGGATCTTTACGGGCTGCTGTCATATAGGTGGAATATTGCTGAGTACGGTGTCATTCAAGAGAACTCGCTCACACCTACTGATCACTGGCACAGGGCATTGAGTTGTTCAAAGTGTCCATGTTGTTACGCAGTGTTTCGACTTTATTGCCAAGTATTGCCCAATCTCTGATGTTTTTGTTATTTCATATTGAGTTTATGTTCCTTATATCCTTTTTATATTTGAATCCCGTGTAATTTGTTTTTCACACTTGCCATAACTGTTTATCCATGTTGTTGATGTTGTCCATTACTTGATGTTTTAGTTGATATGGATGTGGGAGATGAAGAGGAGGATGAGTCATCGCCACCCCCACTACTACAACAGCAGTCACCACAGCCAAATGAGGAACAGCAGCAGGACAAACAGTCAGAGAAACAGTCTGACAAACAGTCGGACAAAGAGTCTGACAAACAGCCCGATAAAGAGTCTGACAAACAGCCCGATAAAGAGTCTGACAAACATCCCGATAAACAGTCGGACAAACAGCCCGATAAACAGACAGACAAACAGTCCGAAAAACAGCCTGACAAACAGTCCGAAAAACAGCCTGACAAACAGTCCGAAAAACAGCCTGACAAGGAGTCTGACAAACAGACAGAGAAACAGACAGGGTCAGAGCAGCAGCTATCAACATCTACAACAGAAACATCAATGGAGACATCTTCTGATAAGGCCGACAATAAGTCTGAGAATTCAGAAAAATCGGAGAAGAATGACAAATCCCAGGTGACCGAGAAGCAGAGGCATCAGCTGAAGCATCGAGAATTGTTCCTATCGCGGCAGGTGGAGACTCTGCCAGCCACACACATACGAGGGAAGTGTGTTGTGACACTACTCAATGAGACAGAGTCCCTGCTTTCATACTTGAATAAAGAAGTGAGTAGCTTGTGGATTATTGATGTTACCTTTTTAATAAGTCATAGTCAAGCATTCCTGGTTTTAACAGGGAAGTAGCCTACCTTGTGTATTTTCTATAATCTTTTTCCTTATGACGTTATCAGCAAGTTGACAGGGTCCTTGGGTTGTAAGAGTCAGTTGGATAGTTTTTATTTTTTACTGTTGTCAACTTGAAACAGAAGTGGTTAATCTACATGTATTCATGCACAGCCAAACACACTCACTTATCCTGGGTTAATATTAGATCCAAGTGACCCTTGAAGACCCGTTAGAATTGATCTTCAATAACCCATGCTTGTCGTAAAAGGCGACTAACGGGATTGGGTGGTCAGGGTCGCTGACTTGGTTGACACATGTCACCGTATCCCAGTTGTGTAGATTGATGCCCATGCTGTTGATCACTGGATTGTCTTACCCAGACCCAATGATTTACAGACCTCCACCATATGGCTGGAATATTGCTGAGTGTGTCACTCACTCACTCAGATCCCAAGTAGTCTGAACTTGTTGTTACTAGTGGTACAGATGAAGAGGGTAGTCAGACTCCATGACATGGTTGGCTTGTTAGCACCATATGATGTATTATATAGATGGATTATTGTCAACTAAATATTTTAAGGGATATATGAGTTTCATTAGAGTGGCGAATACTAATCTGAGTTAAATGTATAGGTATCAGTAATGGTAAATGAAACACTATAACATAGTTTTTGCTGGATATACCTTGTTACAAGTAATATCTCTTCTCACGACGCCAGATGTTATTGATAACAGATATAACAGATACATGAAATTCTTTTTCTTTTCTTTTTGTCAAATATAATGTGCAATGGAAGATTATACATCTAAATAAGTTTTGGAACAGTTATTTTGAATGAAATCTGAAGTTTTACCATCAAACACTAAGTCCGATGCTATCTGATACCAGTTGACATTGCCAGTCGAAAACAACATGTGAGATCTTCTACCCTGTGGATTTTATATTATGCAAGTGAATTATAAGGTGACAGAGTAGCAATATGTAACTGGAAGGATGATATCAGTTTGTCATGCAGTTGCAGTCTGGAATGAGTATGGTCTCTACTAGTCAACTCTGTCTCTACTCTTGTCTGACTTTCTTTGTTTTCTTTCCAGGATACCTTTTTCTACTCACTAGTCTATGACCCACAGCAGAAAACCCTCTTAGCAGACAAGGGGGAAATCCGAGTGGGCTCCAAGTTTCAGGCAGAAATCACACCATTATTAAAAGAGGGTAGGTGTTTCCAGATTCCTAACAGCAACACAGCCAGTTCTTGCTCACTGTCAGCTGCTGTTTCCCAACCTATCCATCAGATGTATTGGGTGAGGATAACTGATTATCTGTTGATGAGTAACACTCATGGGAAGACATTTATGTGACAACTTCTTAGAAATATTTATATCTTGCTGTAATAGAGCTGTGATAGTTTGTTCCTGTTTGTACATTTGAAAAGTGCAAATATCGTTTGAGCCAAATAGATCCCCTGTACCACATGCCTATGATAAAAAGCTCAATGCAGTGGGCATTGGTAGTTGCTGAATGCGACCTGTGTCCACATGAGCAATCAGTAGTTGCAGAAAACCAATGTCAGTTTTCACCTCCCAGGTTCTTGTCCCAATGTTGTGGATCTTGCTCACAAATGTGACTATGGGTTTATCTGGTCCAGTGTGCTAACTGATGTGATATGGCTTTGATGCTGCCAACAAAAAGCGAAAATTCTAACAATGTATCCATTGTAATGTCAGTTTATTTACATTATTAACAATATAATGTCTTATATCTTGATCACCTCATTACTTCACCATAACCTACATCATTGTAGGTGCTACATGTGAAAGAAAAATATATATTACTGATGTAAAGCTGTAACAGAATTTTTAATTCAATTTGTTCTAGTTATATAAACAACTATGATAATATAAATATGCTTTTATTTTCAGGTGAAAAAGATGGTCGTGTCATAGCTGATCTTGAAGATTTAATATGGCAGCCTGATAATGGATTAGCAGAAAAAGAAGTAGATCAGTTTAACATTATTTCCAGGTATGAGTTTTAACAGTAATACCTTTACTATTGTTTGATGGCAATGACTTTTGATTGTCTTCACTTACAATACCAGTGAGACATGCTAAACTTTATATTCATAGTCATCACTTTATTTTTGTGATGATTTCAGTACTTTTATTTGAAAGGATTTAGATAGAGGTCAGTTACGAATTATTCAGAAAACACAATTAGGCCAGTCCAATTTTTTTTTCATTCCTTGGGGTGGATTGGTACTGGACTGTCCAGCCTGGATTGCATAGTTTCAGATCAGTTAACTGTCTGGGATGGGACTGGTTGTCATCCAAAATGATGTTTTCTCCTATTTGAAGTAACATAGAAGAATGTTCTGTTAAAAGATGTTAAAATCCTCAAAATGTCATCATACATTCTCATCTCTAGCAAAACTTGCTTACTTGCTAAAACTTCTCACCCATTCGCTCTCCCATTACATACTGGCTCATCTCTACTTCAGGTCAGTGGGTACATTTGCAAGAGCTCTGGACTGCACAAGCACAGTTCGCCAACCTAGTCTACACATGAGTGCAGCTGCTGCTTCCAGGGACATTACACTCGTGAGTTACTTCCCTTGTACATAACTCCCTTGAAATGTATAGATCATATGTAGTTTGAGCATGAACATGAAACACAGGCAGTATCACACAGTGTTCATTCTAGGCCGCGCCCTTGAGCCATTTGCACACTGAAAGTTCATATGGCACACTTTAAAAATACTGATGGGCTGTGTTGGCGTACTCGAGATATAAACATAAATCTGAAATGCATTAAAAGTTTGTTTTCAAGCGTCAACTCAAGCAAAACGCAAAACGCAGGCTTAGTTTAACAAACAGAATGCGCTACCTTCCCTCACTGAAGCGAGCTGTGATTTTGAGTACCAAGAACTCTGCACATCACTTTCAAGTGCAAGCTGTTTCAAACAACAGTGCGAAACCTACAATTCAGTGTTACGAGAAAATCTGATGTGCTTTGTAAAACAAATTCCGACTGGTAGGTTTCTTTGAGTGATCCAATCACGTTGCATGTAGCAGTTTTATACTTTTGTTGCCATGGGGGACACACAGGCTGTCAAACGCCAATATCAATAAAAGAATTGTTCTATTTTCGCGAAAAAGCAAAAACCTTGTCATGGTGACGATACAGAGAGCACAACCAACTGCGACATTGTTACTGAAAAGAGGATGGGTCTGAGGAGAAATGCCAGGACATTCACGTGTCTTTCAAAATACGTGGTTGCAGCTTTTCACATAAATTGATTCTGATAGAACACTGTACAGTGTTGAAGTGTTCAGAAGTATTGTTTTAATACTTCTACCAGAAGGTTGAGGGCAATATATTTGTCTGACTGTTGAGGAAACTATTAAGCGTAACAAGTATTCAGTTTAAACTTTGAAGTTGATTTTGAGAATTAAAAACTGACATTACCTGATGGTAACAAAATGAGTGTCATTTTTCATTGCTAAGCTTGTGCTGTTTAAATACTATCGTGAAAACTGTTGTTTCAGTGTTGAAGTGTTCTTTTTTTTCAAATTCATTTTGAATTAATCCTAACTGTTCAGTAAATGTTGAACAAATCTTGGGTTTTTCGTTTCCCTTGTTCAAATTGTTGACCTTACCTGTATTGGACGTCAAATATTGTATAAGTAATTGAACTCAAATTAGTAACTACTAGGTACTGTATGTCTAACAAGTCACAGCAATTTGACATGACCCACACTATTTTCTAAATGGCCCACATAACTGAGGACAGGTGGGCCATAGGCCAACTTTCTATTAAGGCTAGAATGAACCCTGATCACAACTGTTTAGTTAAATATGTCATTAGTTGTATTCTCCTTATGGATACTTAATGGTGATACGACAATACAGTATTGTATCATGATATGATGCTCACAATAACATACATTAATTTGAAAACATACGACCATTGTAATCAGTTACATAGATATAAAATCACATAATTAATGAAACGGTTCAAGAACTAATTTATGTTGTCTATCTCTTATTTGCTCATTGGCCATGAATAGCAGAATCTGTATTGTAAATCTGCGGATGTGTTTCGTCTTACATTTATAAACAGTGAAGGGTTTTGATTCATCTGCAAGAAGGGAAAGAAATATATGAACCTCTGAAATGAAAGATCTCTGTCACGATACATATCATTTCATGCCTGTATAATCACGATGCATATGGTTTCATGGCCTTACAACCCCACTGGACTCAGAGAATAACCATTTATGGAGTGTATTTATGTTAATGTTAACTTGGAATGGACTGGTAATGTAATGCCATATACTATTTGTATGCAACACATGCCCAACTCCCAGCAATAAATCACTCTAGGCCCCCACCTGGCAGAGTTATGAAGTAGAATCTTGGTGCAAGTGTGTTTGTTCAACCTCAAATTCTTTCTCTCCTTTGTACAGTTTCATGCAATGTGCACGTTACACAAACACAATTACGACTTGGCAAAAGCAGTTGCCAGCCTTGTGCCAGAAGGAGGCCCAGTTCTATGCCGCGATGAGATGGAAGAGTGGTCCGCATCGGAGGCAAATCTCTTCGAGGAGGCGTTAGACAAATATGGCAAAGACTTCAATGATATTCGACAAGATTTTGTAAGTATTCATAGATGATCATTATGTTAGCCAACCTGGGATCATCATCTCTGCTTATGCATATCTAGATGATTGTCGATATACCTTAGGATTGCTGATGTAATAACATGGTGTTATAGCTTGCACAGAATAAAGTCCTTGAAAGGCATTTCGAAGGTGGACAAACATGAATACATGACACGTTTTTATGGATAACTTCTTTTTATTCTTTATACAAAGGTCATAGCTAATTCTTGCTCCTTCAACAGGTGATAAAAAGAATTTGTTATTTTATTCTGTGCTCACTTGTTTTTTTCTTTTCTAGCTACCCTGGAAGTCACTGAAAAGTATTATAGAGTACTATTATATGTGGAAAACAACAGATAGATATGTGCAACAGGTGAGTAAAATATACGTGACAATCATAGTTAACGAAGACTGACAGAGTAACCTCCCCTCATCTGAATCTCCGTGAAGGATAAATAGATCATTTTTCCAAGATAATCTGCTCTACACAAGTACATCACATTCCTCTTGGGAATTTGATGAATGTACTTTATTTGATGACATGTTTTTGTTTGTTGTAGAAAAGAATAAAAGCTGCTGAAGCCGAGAGTAAACTAAAGCAGGTTTACATTCCCAACTAGTGAGTATTGATTTTACATTAAGCTTTAAGCTTTAATGGGGGAAAAAACAAACCATGGTTGATTTAAGTTTCTGTCTTTTCATTTGATTTCAGTCTTCTTATTCTAATCCTGATTTGAAATTCCTGTAAAGATGCAGTCTCAGCATTAAGCCATTCAACACTGCAGGCCGAATAATCGGCCACAGCGTTATGAGTCCCCAGACACCGGAGGCTGATTAATCGGCCAGGCAGTAGTCACGTCAAAATGAGACATAATTTTAGGAACCTACCTGACTTTTGATTCATATATCAAATCTATCACATTTCACAATGTCTGAAAACACTTATTAAATTTCAATTTATCATATATTATCAGCAGAATTAAAATTATAAACTATTTTTCGCAATGTTATTGAAAACAACGATTCTCGGACACATGCTTCGGCAGCGGGTCCACAATAACATTGTCAAAGAGCAAAGTAACGATGTTTCGAGGAAATTATTAAATAAATTGAATAAACTAATGAATAAAATCAACAACAACATTCATAAAAGTTGTCAAACGTACATATAAAATTACTATTTCCATCTTTTTGTGCGATCATGTAATGCAAGTCAAGTCACTGACAAGTGACATCTCGGCTCTCGCCGCCTCAATCTTCACGCTAGGACACGATGTTTAATGTGAAAATACATACATGAAGCATTTTTGTCACAGGTCATAACCTAGCACGATACGTCCAATAAGTTCCATAATTTACGTATAGGTAGCGATTTCTTGCTTAATATGTTCAGAATAGCATTATTTTACCCAAAACTTTTGTCCAATTCTGAAAGTTTTCGTTTACGAGGACGGTATCCATTGCCGTAATATGATTGGCTGCCTTAGGTCACGTGTCTGATTTTGACCAATCACGACCCTTATAGCAGACTGTGGAGAAAAAGCGTCATTAGAAACCAACCTTTATCCAATAAAATCGCTTCTTACAACTGTGAAAATACTCATGGCAAGGGTACAGTGATATTGTTGATGTTCAGAGCTTTCGAACGATGCCCGACATCAAACGATTTGCCGTGCATGTTATTCATACGAAGCTTCGAAAACGGAGGTATTTTCCGTTGTTGTGTCATTTTACCGAGCGGAAAGCCACAGATATCGGGAAATAGGCGACCATACATATTGTTTAAGAAATCTTTTTATAATAATTTTCTGATTACGTAAAAATGAAAATATAAAAGAAAAAGGCTCGGGCATGTTATGACATGTCACAAATTGAAAAAATCGCCATAGTTTTTGCTCCTTTCGTGGTTTATCTGGACGTTATAAATGTAAGCTTGCATTTTCATTCAAATATAAATTTATTTAAGTTGTAGTTGTATTATTTGAATAATATTATAAAAATAAACTTCATATTTATCAACAGTAGGATTAGATCTTTTAAATGGTGTATGGGATGTAGTAGCAATAACTTTTACAAGGTTATAATTTCCTTCATAAACATAGGCTTCATCTATGACCTCAGAGTCTCTGGGAACTCGGTGTCATGGCAGTAAATGCCTCTGGTTGACTGGTGTTGAAAGAGTTAAGCTTGCCCCTCACTCCATAAAATGGTAATTGATTGTTGTACTATTTCAGCAATAAACCCAACCCAGCAGCACTATCCAACAAGATGAATGGCGCTGATGGTCAAGTGTCCGGAAGAGCCTGCGAGAGCTGTTACAGTCAGTGACACAAAGTTTATACCCATTGCATGCAGCTCAGTTCTAATTGTCACCTTACAGACAGCCACAGTTCCTCTATCAATCATATCCAGCCTTAGGTTTTCTAAACTCCTTCGTTTGTTTTTAGAAACAAGAATACTAAGCCGCCTCCTGTCACCGACAGTCAATTTTCTGGGCCTACCTGCGCCTCCCTGGTGCTCAATGCCATATCCATTTGCAATATTTTTCAAAACACGATAAACAGTGGACAAAGGGATGCCTGTTCTACTTGAAAGCACTTTAGCTGATCTGATGTCCTTGTTACAAGACTCTAAAATCAACTTCCTCTTCTATAAATTATCCATACTGAGGATCACTGAAAATGTCGTCTGCTAGCAAGTAAACAAAGGGGGATAACTCTTCACAAACTAATGAAAACGGAGTTGTCTCTCTTGAATGAAACCAAGCACTTGATAGCTGGTCAAGGTTGTTTATACTAGAAATCCAATTAAACATATTCCTAAAATTCTCAATAATTTCTGGTCATACTTTACTTGACTCCGACTTACTTTAACCGTTAGTTGTTTTGTTTCAGCTGCCCACTCTAGCCAGTGGTATTCGTGGGGCCCCTCCCACCTTCAGTGTCGCCTCTGTTCATGCTGCTGGTCCTACTGGAAGAAGTATGGTGGCCTAAAGATGCCTACGCGGCTAGGTACTAACAACTATGGAGATAGTTTACCAACTGGTATTCAAATTTATTCAAATTGCCCCTTCGGACTCTCACTATATGTCTTTTTGTTCACTCTCAAGGGTGTTGTCTGGTCGGATATGCGGTTGATGATGGAATTCATGTAATTAATTGTTTAGCCTATGTAGGATTTTGGTTTTTATTTTAATAGATTTGTTTATAGTTTTTTTATTTGATGCATGACATTTTGAGTACAATGCTGCTTTGTGGTGATTTGCTGCTTTTTGCTTGTGTAATACTAGACACATTATGCCTCTGAGAATGTGGTGGAAGAGTGATGGAAGGTGAACTTTTGATATAACAGTACTTGACAGTAGTTGATAGACTATAACTGCTGAAAGATGCATTTCAGTTGAACCACATGAAAGTACAAAATAACTTTAGTAATTACAGGGCAGGGCAGAGTCAGTTAGCGCTCACTCTCAACCACCAGTTGGTTTGTTCCCGGACTAAATGATCATTGAGACTGTGTCTCAGTGTACCTTTCAAGCATGGATCTCTGCACACAGTATTTACTGATAGTTACAGGTTTAGACCTACATGTATTTGTGTTGTCTATGGTGCCACTCAAGAAAATATTAGTAGAAATACTTCCAAAAAGGATACTGTTTTGAGGAATTTGTGAACATGGAAAGCAGAAATCTTGCCTTTGCATTTGAAGTATCTGTACTTTTAAAGAATATAAGTTCAGATTTCTTAACCTATAAATGTCTGAATGGTACTGAAAACAAAATCAAAACCTTATTAGTTTATTTCCTAAGTGTCATGTTTAACAATTGTTTTGTTGAAAGAAGTAGGTGTTCTTATATTTGGTCGGTATATCAGCACTGGCATTTATGATTGCGCTATCAAAAGTCGGTGTATAATCAATGTTGTTGCATGTCAGTGTTTTTCTGTTGGTAGCAATTGATTCAGCTTTGATTTCTTTCTTGTTTAATTGCTTGTACTCACTTCCTGTCTGTCTGCCTGCAGATGGTGAGAGACCTGCACCCAATCAAAGACAAGGTTAGCCATACACCTTATATAACACTTGTTCTCATTGGTTAAGTTGAGACAGCCAGGATACAAGTTACTGAGGTGTTCAGATCTGTTGCCTGGCATTAAGACAAACACCATGTGACTATATTTTGCAATGCTTGCACTATTGTGTGTGAATGGCTTTTAAGGTCACTGTATTTTTTGTGGTGCTTCTTTTGTAGATGCTTTTGTCATAATGGAATGAAATACTATTTTGGATTATGATGGGATATTTTAACCAAATCTGTACATATAGACTGCTGCTTAACATGTGTTTTTAACTCCAGCTTTGGAAAACTAAAATTTTGAACGTGACCAGCCAATGAAAAGCTACCTATTATCACTATTATTGTGTATCATCATAATACTTTATGTGACTTTCCTAGGTCAGGCCCATGCAATTTCTGTGGACAAAGTGTTTAACAAGTGTGCAAAGTTTTCTGGATCGTCTTTTATATTTTTCCAAATATACATGTACTTTATTTTCAGACAGTAGTTGTCATAGTCATAATATTCCCTTATATATGTTTGGTGATAAAAGACTTGCTTCATAAATCTGCGTTTTTAGGATTGCTGACAAAATTGTTTTTTGTGCACTTTGTAATTCTGTTTTTAAACAACAATCACAGAAACATGGAATTGTCCTGCTCTCCAAAATATACAATGATCACATTTGGGATTGTGATGCTGAAATGAGCCCACTTTCTTTGTGATAAGGTCTCCATAAATTTTTCTGAATGTTGAAAAAATGTCCCAATTATTATAAATGCCAAGTATTTGGTAGACATATATATTTTTTCAAAGTGAAATTGTTTGGTGAAAATTGCATTAGAAATATTTCAAATCGCTTCTTTCTTCATATTCACTACTGGTTCACGGCATATTAAATGACATTGTAAGAAATAGAACTTTATACTAATTGTTTTTACAAATGCTTATCAGACAGGTGAATGCATGAGGTTGGACTATCCATTGTAAGTTGGAGTAGTGTTATCAGGTGTTAGGACTCTGAGGGAAGGGTATCAGTTCATTAACTATTGTTCATATTACAGAGAGGGTTGCACAGATGAATGCCATTCGAAGCCACCGATGTACTATTTCTGGTTGCGGCAAGGTAAGTGTCAGTGTGTGAATTGTTAAGTGTAGTAGTCATCTGGATGTGTTTGGGTGTGTATAGTTTCAGGAGTGTTGAAATGTTCAAGGGTAGAGAGTTGGTTACTGTTTATGTACAATAGTGTTGTGAAACAGATGGAGCTGTCTGAGGATGCGTAAAGTTGGTAGGCCAGCGTGACAAGAATAGCATGAAATTCTTCTGATGTCCAGTATAATTCCTTAAGATTGTGTGTGCAGTGCATAACAACTGGGTTCCATTGCACAGAGGAATGTTAGGGATAAGATTGTTGTAGAACTAAGGTCCTTTTGTGCAACAGGGTGCAGGTTAGATACTGACATGCTTAGGTAATCAGTGCTTGCTGATTTTGTATAGTTATATTACTGTATATTTTTAGACACTGTGCTCATATAATGAATACATCCCTGCTTGACAGTTTTTACGACTTTACATTACCTGAAGGAGAAACCTTTGTCAGAATACAAATTTCAACAGCATTGACCTAGATTGGTTTGATGGTTATCATTCAGTGGCCATTAAATTTGTCTAATAACAAGAATTACCTAGACTACTGATTACGTACACAAAATATACTATTAAACAAATGTATCAAGCATAAAATGCCACTTTCACAAACGATAGCTAAATGATTTGGCCAAATGTTTCTGGGAAGTGATTGGGTGGCTAATATATCATGTTGAAGACTTTCTGGGCTGTAACGTTTTGTCATGTCGTGTTTGAGACAGATTTTCATGCCTGTATGTTGTATTGTTGGCTTGCAGTGTGCATTCATGTCATTTCTTATTGTTCAGCTGATTAAATAAGAGTTAGACCTTTGGGCTGATAATTAGCATTATCAAAATGTAGCTCGAATTCTGGATATATAGTATATATATTGTCCCGTATTTAGTTGTATCAATTAACCCTTGTATACAACTGATATATCCTCTCCTTTATATTGTTATTTATGTATATTGGTTCAACAAACTTGGTTGTACTGACTGCTGTTGTATGTATTACAGTGACTGTTTTCAAAATATATATATATTTTTTTTTATTAATTCTTGTTGCAAATTTGGGTTTAAGGAAACATATTTCTGTCTTCCCTTTCCAACAGCTGTTGGTCAAACTCCTTGATAAAAGTTAAAAGATAAAGTTATGATTTCTCTTAGCTTCAGGGCTCCAGATAAGGGTCGTATCGGCGTATGTACGGATAAAAAATATGCAAGATCCGGTAGGAAATAATTTAGAAAACGTAGCAGATACGCACCACAGCAATGGTGTACGGTCTTAGAATCATTTACAGACATATTTATCTGAAAAAAGTATTGTTTTATTGTTTATTGACCTGTTTACACAAGAGTAGCAATGTTGTGGTGCATATATGAAACGAAACACAAGATTACTGATACGTCATTAATTTCCATTCAGTACTCTAAATGTACTCTTAAGGTTTTCCAGTACTCCTATATTGAATAAATTAGGAGTACGTACTCCTGATCATGAAAAATTATCTGGAGCCCTGAGCTTGTTAAATTGGTGTTGTATCATGTACTATTGCCGGCAGAGTGTCAATATTACAGGATGAATTATATACTTGTGTATACATAAGGTCAGTTACCCTCTTTCAAATTTAATTGATCCTGTTGACATTCAACAGTCCTAGGACTGAAATAGAGATAGCTGGAACTAATATTTCCCCTAATGATGTTGGCCACAGTACATGTTGTTGTTCATTGCATGATGCTTGTGAGCAGTTTGTGATTGAATGACCTGACTTTAATGCAGGACTTCAAATTGAAGGCACACTTGGCACGACACCTGGCAACAGCTCATGGATTGGCTATCAGGTCAGGTAGCCCCCGACCTGTCATGAAGACCCGAGCAGCTTTCTGTCTTGTCACCACACCGCTAACCAGAATCTCTCGCCGACTCTGCAAGGATATCCTGCGCCCAAGACATGCGGCCCGATGTCCATTCATACCCATAAACATTGCTGCTATCAAGCAAGAATGTAAGTTGAATGGGCTTGTCGCCAACTATTCAGATAAGAATGATTACAGTGACTATGATAGGTCTGATGTAGAGATGATTGCTTCCAAACCTATATTTGAGAGAGCAAGCAACAACATGTCCCCCAATAATGTTTCCCGTAACAATGTGTCCCCTAACAACCTGTCATCGGGCACTCCCAACAATGTCCGCTTGAACCCAATCAACGCTGTGCCAGCACACAACCGATGAGGACGGAGCCCATGATTGCATGGCTGGGAATTCAAGAGGACAATATGGTTCATCATGACGACCACATGTTCGAGAAACAATTCTTTTTGACGGCAGCAGATGACACACCAACAGACTGTTACAGATTAATGGTGATTTGTTTGCTGTGAAGTTTGAGACAAATCCTGTGTTGGCAGATACACCTGCCTCCATTATGTGACTTAACAAGCTCCAGTATGGTGGGCAGAGCCTGGCAATTGTCATCCGACTTTTGAAAACTTTTAGCGAACAAACTCAAGGACATTTTGTGCCATCTGGAACTAGGAACATGCTCATCGTCAGACGTGTTAATCTTTCTCATCACCATTGTTTCCGAAGATTAAAAATGCATAGTTCAACATCATTTCGTTTCATCCAGAACAATTGATAATTGTACATGAAGAGTAGAATTAGATTTGTTACGAAAACACAATTATAGATGAATTTTGTAGTGTTTCGTCTACTCATGTTCCTAGTTCTGCCAGGTGCCCTAGTGCAGAGACCGGAGCTTGTGATGGTAATCTAGCAATACGTCACACGTCAACATTTCATACTTTTTTTTCGAGGACATAAAAATAAATTGAATTTACATATTAAAATGATATTCATTTGAAGATGTAATTGCATATTTGACAATGTTTGAACCCACTGTTTGTATATCTTTGTAAACAACTGAAAGGTTTTGTTAAAGACTTTGTTAGTTTCATAAAGGGTGTCTGGTATTTCAAAATAATTGTTCTTTTACCAATAACGTCAAGGTTTCCTCCATTCCTCAACATCATATCCCTCACAGTACTGTTCAGTTGCATGGAGCAGTTGCATGACAATGATATCTGTACCTTTATAACTTATTCTGACGCTAACAGATACCAATGGTGTGGAAACCGTGCAGACCCTCTCTCTCGGGGCTTCTGGTACTAGGGCATTGTGTGTTATTTTCTTTGCTAACTTTGTATTCTTGTCCTTCAGGGAAGGCTTGTTTTCCTATCAGCTTCTAGCCTTAGTGTGTTATCTATTTATACAATGTATTGAGTATTAATTCAAACTATTTTTAAGTTTTTCTAAGACAGTGAGTTTGAATTTCTTCATAAAATTCAGTTTTATTCAACATCTTGCCAGTACAACTGTACTTATTTTGGGAAGAGTCCAGTAATGAGTCATCTGAAATAATCTATTTTGCTCAAATTGAGAATTGTTACCAATTCTGACTGAAATATAAAAAACAACTGGGCAGCAAGGTATTTACTCTGTGAATAACATGGAAACATGCAGCATTCAAACCACCAAACTGCTGTCCAGTTTTCAGACAGATGTAAGCTGCACATATACAAACTGCTGTCCAGTTTTCAGACCGATGTAAGCTGCACGTATACAAACTGCTGTCCAGTTTTCAGACCGATGTAAGCTGCACATATACAAACTGCAGGCAACTAATACAGCCAGGCAATCACAAAGAAAGCCTGCTCTCACAAATACAGTCAAACGTTCCGGATGATCCAACATGCCCTCATTCACTTGCACACCATCATCTTACAGTAGAGGTGTAAACTCATTTTGTTCTGAAAATTCTTTCCATGTGGGGAGAAATGAAAGTTCTAGTACCTAATGTCAACACGGACACTTGCAGTTTGTTATAACATTTGTTAACCAGAAATATTTGGTGAGGAGGAGCCAAATAAAATTAGCTTGGTCAACATGAGATGGCATTTGGCGTTATGGTGTACACAGAAAGTTTGTGAAAACTTGTTTATCATACTGTTTGTACAAGTTCTTGTATTTCCCAAGCATGAAATAGGGCAATACATAAGTTCTTACATGAGTTAAAATCAGTTTTTACATACATGCAAGTGTAAAATGTAATGTAATTCCATCATTTCTTGCCCTTTTGAGCTCTCTTTTGAAAAAGTCATGATCATAGTCTTCAAAACCACAATTTCTGAATAATGTCAACACTTTTCAGCTGTGACATTACAACCTTACGCCACAATAAGATTTGAATGATGTCAGTGCCATACGGATGGTGGTGGTGTGTGTCTGTGAAGTGATATTTCCACTAGTGCACTTTCGATTGTTCTAACCCTTTGGGTAATACAAATATATACAGCTGTATCTTATTTGAGAGTTTTTTGGTCTTCAGTCAAATATGTAACACTGTTGATTTATCAGCAATAGTTGTATAGCAGTTGCATGTATGGATTTCCTCCTGAAGAATGCTGTTGTGCCTTCCCCAACAGGTGGTAGACCGGGTATATTTCCATAGGATAATTGATTCGGAAACATGGCAGTTTTTGATATTTTCATTTCATTTTGGAGTCATGACTACCTTTTGTTGTTTCCTGCAAAATGTGGCCAATAGTTTTGACGTTTGGAAGGAACCCATATTCAGGAAATAAAATTCAAAGTTCATGATCTAATTTCTTGATTTGGACAACTATTTTATGATGAGATTTGCAATAAAAGTTAATGAGGATGTTTGAGGTAGCTGAATGGGTGAAGTGTTGGTTTGTGACAGTCTTGACTGGGTTTGAATTCCTCATTAACACAGTTTATGAATGCAATTAAAGAGACCCATCGTCTTGTCAAATAGTTGAATCAAAATATCCTAAAATCTGATACACAACATTGCCTTGTTCAGAAGCTATAAAAAGGCTCTTTACTTGTCAGTATTTTGTGGTTGGAGTTCCGATTAATGTTTGGTTCAGATAATTATAGTTTGTTGTCAATCTGTAGTTAAAGAAAGCAATAATATAGTCACGAGAAAAAGCTTGGATTTTATTAATCAAAACCAATATGTTGGTACGAATTAAGTTTCATACTGACACAGGAAGCTGGCTGGGCATTGTGGGTTGTGAAGAACAAAGTCGAACCACTATCCATTCACTGTAGAATTTCATTGTAGTCTATCATGTGTAGGGTATGGATTTTTGTGCTATTCAATATTTAAGAATTATTTGTCCTGAAACCATACTTTGACTATTTTGCCAATGTTTGTGTATCTAGATGTAGTAACATAGCTTGATGTTGAGTTCCTCCTTAAACATTGTATGTACCAAGTTGGACATTTTTCTATAACATTTGTACAGGTTTTCTTATCTTGGTCCTAGTATCATCACTCATGTTGTCTTCCATCAGTGATATTACGTAGTGTCATCATCATCCTCATCTAGTTAGATCACTTGCATGTGTGTATAGACAACCGACAGCCATGTAACATAGCCTTGTAACACTTGTCAGCAATAAAATTCAACAAAAACATCACAACTAGTTTTATTCCTTTCTTTCTTTGAAAATCTCTTAAGATTTTCAAGATTCTGATTCTACAGTACTCCAGTCATTATCAGCATGTAATTCATCGTCAGAGGAATGGTCAATGTTTCAGTAAAGTTTTGGTTTCATTTGAAATCATGTGTAATTTTTATCGGCTCAGAGTCCGAGGTAAATGTTGAAGTTTGGGGGCGGGTAAGTCTTCCATGTACTGCTTTCCAATTGATATGACCAAACATCCTGAACAAGAAAACTGCTACGGGAAGATGTCATATGTCTGTCCTGTGGATATGTAGTTCTTCCGAATATGGTCTCCAAATTTCTGTCTTTTGTTACCTGCATGTTCAATAAAGAAGGGTGGAATGTCTGCAGCTGTGTATATTCTTGCCTTTGATTACACTTGGTGAGCAATGATTTCTTTGGCCACAGTACTTTTAAAATACGTCCTGATGTCGATGTGCCATGCATGGCCACAGATATGTGAATAGTTCTTTGAACATTTCCTTGGTTTTCTGCATCAGTGAGAAAACTCCACATGAAAGCATTCAACTTCTGACTCCCAGAATGAACTGTCTGTGGAACTAAAAAGTCTTTTCTTGAAAAAGGAAAATATTTCTAGGTGGTCTTCCTGTTTTAAGGATTTGGCAATCCAAAATAATTTTAAAACATGGGGGAAAATGCCTCAGGAATCTACCTACAAAATGTTATAACTGGGAACTTTGCTCATTGATTGTTGTATATTGTATCCAAGTTGTACATTGTTCTATCTGACCAGCATTAAGCACATGTACTGTGGTAGCCAAGAGGCCGTCTAGGGGAAGATGTCTCCATCAATGAAGGGTGCCTGTGTCTTGGATAATCTCTGGAATGTTATATTTAGTGGGCGATGGTTGTTCCTTTCATGACTTTCAAATCATTCATGCCGAATCGTAATTATCATGTATTTTTATTTTCTTCCTTTATGTATTTTCTTTTTCAATTTCTTAGATATCGCTTCTGGCTTGTCAAATAGCAGTTGTTCTCTGATAGCTTAATACTAACTTTGCAATAAAAGCCGAGCTTCTCACAAACAATCAGTCCTATATTTGGCAAAGTGCAGAAATCGAAAACAAGTGTATGTGACAGTCTGGTGGCGACATCAAATTCTGCACATAAATCTCCAGTAACGTGACCAGTTTCCCTTGCAAAACTATCTCCACCACTAAATTGTTCCTGAGATTTTGAGACCAGGCACCCTGTGAATGCTGTATAGCAGAGAGAGAGAAAGAGAAGGGGCACCTGCTCGTCCTACAAGCAAAGAAGTGAGTGAGACAGGTATAGCTCTCTATACAATCCCTCTTCCAAAACTTTAAACTACTCTGTAGTAAGACCTACGTCACAGCAGACTGTCACATATAGTCTCCTCCTCGTGGCTACTGTGTCAGACATTTAGGCTTCTTATGCACTTTCTGCTGATAATAATCGTTCATTGCTTCTGTAAAGTATCTGCTGTTTCTTGTCTTTATTTTCATTGTCACAAGTTTGGGGAATTTTGCTCTTCAGTTTCTTCTCATCAACAATAAAACTTTGTAAAAGTCACAAATTTTTATGTTGTGTTTATCTGTGGGTTTTCGTTTTTTTGTTTTCTGTGTGGTTATAAATTTCTCATACTAAGTCTTTCCTACAGGCTCTGGCCGTGTGACAGAGGTTGGGAAGATAGAACTGCCCACAACAGGAAAGATTCGAGGCTTGACAATGGAACCTGTAGTGTGTCGTCTTGGCATAGACACAAGTGTGGAGAAACCCTCTTTGCTAAGTCGCAAGTCAGGTGAGCCTCGCGGAGAACAGAGGATATCCTTCCCTGCCCCACCTCACCCACCACGTAAGTTACCTTCAACCTCTGTCTGTGTTGTAGCAGTAGATACAGAATGCTGTAAGTAAGCTTCTCGTCTTCTTGTCACAGGATCTTCAGCTTATCAACCCAGTTTTTAGTACATGTTTTACCATTCAAAAGCTGCCTTGTTCAATCTTAAGCTTGCTTGTTCCCACCTAAAGCTGAATTGTTCCAATTGAAAAGTGACTTGTTCCCATCTAAAGCTGACTTTCCTCAGTCTGAAGCTGAGTTGTTCTCACCGAAAATGGACTGGTTCATGACTTGTTCCCATTGAAAACTGGCTTGATCTGATCCAAAACTGAATTGCTCGATCTAAAGCAGACTTGTTCACCATAGAAATACTAATTTTTTTGTCGCAAAATAAAGTCATAAAAGTGCAAGAAGACATGATCACATGAACATGGCTTCATTTTCTACGGTTGGAGTACTCAACCATGTTGACATCTTTTCCTAACTGATGATTTGTATGAAAGGTTTTCCCAAAATCATCAGCTGATCTTATACTATCCTGATTGTCCTTCCTTTCCTGACTTAAAATCTGTTCATGACTGTCATATCTCAACTGACAAATGTTTGATCACTCAGGAGAATGGCATAAAGCTATGATGGGTACAAGTGAGCAAAGCTTGGATAAGACTGTTTAGGTTGTGTTGGTTGTAATCATGTGAGCAAGCTTGTTGTGTGCCATTGTTCAGCTTCTCACCTTTGTATGTTTTGCAATGCTGCAGCATGCTTTATGAGAGATGTTAAGCGTTTGTCATAATTGTTGGGTATAAATGACACAAGTTAGCATTTCATTGAAAGATTCTTTTAAATTTTGTTTGTTTCGATATTTAACAGCTGATACGATAATTCAATAATTAACTTCAGTAATTGTTCAGCTGTATATTTAAACGTTCAACAATTCAGGAAATACAAAAGTAGTAACAAAACATTTAAAGGGTGAACATTTGTACTTCACTTCATGGCACTCACATAATTCACAGTAAGACGATATACAATTCAAGATGATACTAGATGCATAATTTGGAGTACAACATACAGAATATCCTACATTATGTGTTTGTTGGTTTTCAAATATTGTAATCACTGTATTTATGATGACACCAGCACACAGAATCCCGGAGACAATTCAGACATCAACAGCCGGACCGTCAATCATGAAGAAGAGAGGCTATGAACAGAGCAATGGGATAGATATACATGAGTTGTCACTTATCAGTTGTCAGTACATGGATAATGTAGCTGTCCAGCAAAGTAACAATACTACATTCTTCAAAGAGATATATTTAGATTAACATGTTCTTTTTTCTTATGAAAGAAACAGTTAAACAGTCGCATTTTTCGCATTAATAAGTAGCTCACATTATTTTATTGATTTACAGTATTTCATAACTTTTCATTAGTATGTACAATTGTAAGCGATATTGATACTTGCCAGTGTTTGAAACTTAAGCATGAAAGTTGAGAGGTCTATTTCAGGCCCACATGGTAAAAGTTAAGAATTAGGGGTACTTTGATTGAAGTACCATGGGAGCAAGCCTTTTGGAAGCCACCAAACATATGATTGGTCCTTGATAAAAACTGTAATTATCAGATTATCAGGCCATGAAACAAGGATGAATCAGATTTGAGCACCCAAAAAATGCACAAAATCACCTTTAGTTTGAAAATAGTGCATGTTGTATTTAGCACAAGCAAAGAAGTGACAAGGCATTTGATTAAGGATAAATCTGTGACATCTGTGTTGATCACTGTTTTTGTTTTGTTAGCTCCCAGTGCTAAGCGTCCGAGCCTAGGAGTTATTCGCCAAGTTGGGTCAGCACTTCGGACAGTGCCAACAATAGTATGTATACCAAATATATCTCTACTGTTTCCCTTAACAAGTACCTATCTACTCATTTTGGCCTTTCTAAAAATAGCATGGGTATAAATATATTCATGAAATAATAGTAATAAAAACTTTAAGTTAAGCAAATATACTACTCTCAAGAAGTGAAGGATTTTTTATTTATTTATTTATTTTATTTTATTTATTTTCATTTGACCACAGTTAATGTATCATGGGTAGTGGATTTTGAATAATGCAGTCTTCCAATCGTTGATTTTGGTTTTATCGTTTTTACAATTAAAAATGAGAAGTTGTTTGTAAGCATGTTTGTTCGTGTGCCCTCAAAATAAACCTTTCAGTCTTGCACTTTTTCAACACATAAAGCATATATCTATTAGTTGCATGGCCAAATCAGTACAGATATGACAAATAACTACCTGGGTGATCTCTTTTTATACCCCTGACTTAAAAATGTTACCGTATGTGAATACTGTTACACATATTTTTATTTTATGAATGGAAATGCACATGATCAATCTGTCATGCATCTTTCTACACACTTTTTCAGAGGATTAATTTCACTGTGGATATTGTTTGCTTTGGGACTAGACAGGAGACAAGTCTAAATCAATTGGCACCAATTCCTTCCAACTCTAAGTGGGGATAACCCTGTCCCATAATGGCATAACATTTGAACACTTATATTAAGCGTTCTGTTCTCAATGTCAGAAAAATCAGTGTATTTTGAAACATTGATATGAACTTCAGAATAAATTATTTTGTGTGTACCCTTCCCTGTTTAGCCTTTACTTGTTAAAATGTTGCTTTATAACTGAAGTATTGTTGAAAGATCTTTGTGAAGAGTTCTATATAATTACTTACAGCGAGGTAGCGTGATCAACCACAGCACTTTCAAGAATGGTCGCAGCAAGACGCCAGGTGTTCGAGGCGGCTACAAGATGCACATGATCAGCTGGATTGATGCACCTGACGATGTATACTTTGTTGCCACAGAAGCCACAAGGTCCAGTGTCACCACAGATGTTGTTTAACGAGGCACTCAGTAATATTATAAACAATATGTATTACACAAAAATCAGTAACTATCATGTGAAACTGCTAATTGAATATCTTCATTCAGGGGATCCTCCTGTTGATTGTTGCATAAAACAACCTACCCCCATGACCTTGTATTGTTGTTTCGTCAACCTTCTCAAAAAATAGCTTGAGTGTTTGTTCAGGGAAAGACCTGGGCCCCATTTCACAAAGCTATCATAGCGCTACGACTATCGTAAGTCTATGTTAAAGTATGGGAGTTCCGATCACCTTAGTGGTACGATCGCTTTGTTGAACAGGGCCCTGGTTCAGAACTTTACTTTTCATTCCAGGAAGCTGAGGCACCAGATTAGCCATCATGCCGTGAAGCGTGCAGCTCGCAACCCCTGGCGTGGACTGCTGCTCCAAATCCCCATGCCAACAATTGAGGTTCCTCGACCGGAACACAAACAGGAAGTGGTTGTATTGGACTGAAGCTAGAAGATGACCTTGTGTTGCATCATTGAGCAGAGTGGACTTGTGTTTGTTGTCACTGCCAGTTGAACCATGTGGATATTTTGACACCACTTTGGTTATATGTGAACACTTCATATCAACAGTTTCTCATTAAAGACTCAGTGGTCTTGCCGTTTCTCTAACTCCTGAGCTTCTTTTCATAATTTGTAACAAGTCTTGTGTTCCTTTAGCTGATCCAGTCTGGTTTCGTTTAAGATGCTATTCTTAAAATGTCCCTTCCAAGTACAAGTATAGTCAATGTTTAAGAGAAACATATCAGTTATAAAACTGACTTTTAACATGCTCAACATTAAGTATATGCTTGCTGTGACCTAACTAGTACTGCTTAGAATATGCTTGTTAAGATATGACTTCTTTATCATGGTGCTGAAACAGTCAACGTTGTGTGATCTCCATTGGTCCGTTGTGGAATCTGTATTGGTGTGTTGTGCAACCAACATTTATTTCTTGTGCTCAACGGGATCAGTGAATCACATCGATCAATGCAGTCTTGGTGTAGAATATCAAATATTCGACATTCCATACACCTGGAATGGTGAGAAAATTATAAGTTATTCATTGGTCGTATTGTTTTGTGAATGAGACAAGTTATGCATTCTGAAATGCAGTTTTGTTAATATCAGTATTAACTTAAATATTTTATATGCATAGTCAGCATTGAGCATGATACTTGCTTTACATACATGTCTCAAAATGGTGAGAAATTTGAATTGCTGTCATATTACTTTGTACATACTGTCAACTGAACTGCTTATTCTCTGGACTCTGATGTTCTGGAAAGTCTTAGGATGTAGTAGACCACCATCACTGGAATATAGTTTTTACACAAGCTCATTCATGTAGGCTGATGTCCAATGTCAAAACTGTCAACTTCAATATGTACCTCAAGGTAACCAATCTACTTCTGTCACACCAGGTTTTCCATTAGAAGGATTTAGTCCATATATTATTCTGAAACAATTACAGTAGGACCCAATAGCAGGAAAAGTAACTTTGGAAAGAAAGAAATCTCCCACATTCTCTACAGTACCGGTACTTGTCATTTAATCACAGAACTAACTGTCCTGACATATTGTGTTCATTCTTCTAAATGTTTCCCAATAATGTGCCTACAACGACGTCAATGGTTAATGTAATTTCTAAGTGACCTCCGTCACAAGTGTCAGTATTTCAGCCAGAGGATAGGCAGTAACCTTACAGAATGTTATGCGTAGTCGGTGTCTTTGCAACAGTGAACATACTGAAGCTGTTATCATGTGATTGTTAGTTTAAAGAGTTTAGGTCCCTTCTGTTGCTGTAACAAACCAGAATTTACTCAGAGTTGTAAAAACAATCGATTTCAAGAAAGCCCAAGTATATTGATCAACAGTTTGGCCTGTTGATTCCCTGTGTGTAAGTGCTGATGTGTTTGGATGAGGGATGAGCATCATTACACCTCCGGTATGCTCTCATCAGATGAATTATTTATTTTATGCAAAATCTGTTACCATGGTTACACTTGACTTCACATGTCATCACCATCTGGCAGGCGGCCATATTGTACGTTTGGTTAATTCATACACACTCAAGTTAATAAAACTATTTCGATTAAAAATATGTTTGTTCTTCATCTTTGATAAAAGAATGAGTGAGTATGGTTTTACCCGCTTTTAGCCATATTCCAGCATTATATTGGTTTGGAACATCAGAAATGGGTTTCACACATCGTACTCATGTTGGGAATCCAGCATGGCTACCTCACTTAACCCGACAGAGGTTTGAAAGATGTTGTGTTTGAAATTGTGGACAGAATGAGTAATGAAAATGAAACAAAGATGATTTATTGTATGAAACACTGCATATATACATCATGATTTAATGCAGTGCATGGAGTTCTGGTGAAAATGAGTAGCACTATTTGAGACTTGATGATGTCCCTGAGCGAGCTTGGTATCTGGCTTGTTGCTGCTGACGCTGCAGCACCTCATCATAAGACTTGATCGTAAGTGTGGCCTTGGGTCCTGTCTGCCAGATGGCGCCAGTGACGTCAACAATGGAGGCATCAATTGTTACCGTGTGGATGCCGAGGACAGGGAAGGGCAACAGGAAGTTGACACTGAAGTAGTCATTGTGAGGCTCCACGGTTTGGGTCAGGAAGTTGGACGTGATCTCATTCCCCTGCAAGCAATGGAAGTTCAATCAATGAATTTTGTATTCCTGTCATGTAATAATGGCATGGAGCTCATTGCAGTCGCTGAAATCAAAGTGGAACCAACAATTCTTCCCACCTTGGTGTTAGCTCCTGGTTGTGTGCTGCGACTCTGCAGAGCTGATGTGGCAGAGATGCTGACGGAGTGAGCTGTCCGGAACAGACAGGGTCGTTCACCATGTTGTACAATCCCTTCCACCTTAATGGCGAGATGAGTGTCGCACCGGATTGAGATTGGCTCCATGTTAGCATTTTGTTGCGGTGATACTGCCAGCTGGAAGGCAGAACGGACACACATCACATTTTAACGAATACATGTATTGTTCATTTTTTTTATAAGGTTTGGTACAACTTTTTACCCTTATAGAAGACATACTGCACAAGATTTGGAAAAAAAGTAGACATGTTTGCATTAAATGGAAAAATGATAATATTTTTTGTATCATTTCTCACCTTGAGTACAGTTGACTGAAGAGTCTGGAAGAAGAAGCGTGGGAAGCTGTGGCTTGACTTAATCAGGGCTTTAGCCGAGTCACTCAAAAAGGTGATCTGCCAACATAGGCAAATATGCATATACTTCATTCTTGAGGATTCTCATTTGTTGGTTTCAAACATTTTGGCCTGAAACTTAATGTAGGTGGTTAGTAAAATCCAAAATGATTGTTTTCAATTTTTGATTACTGCTACTAATGTACGAACTACATATATTTATCAAGGCAAGATACGTAAGGTCATTGATTTTGGGGTTGTTTTTTCACCATTTCTTAAGAACAGATGTTATTATCATACTTTTCTTTTTCATTTCTACTAATGGTGATAGAGTGAGCTCAAAATGGTCCAAAGTGTTTTTCTTTTCTTTGCCTCACTATACAATATGGTCGAGAAATCCACCATGCTTTATTTACTCACCCTACTCGTCATGTCATTTGTTGTATCCTGCAGGACTTTGTTCAAGCCACTTGAAACATTTTGCAGGGCTGTTTCTATGGAAACCCCTGTTTCTATAGTTTCACCGCCACCTGTCCACAGCTGCCGGTCTCCAAATGATCCTCCACTAAAAGGCGAAAGTGATTCTGATGTAATGACTATCTTCTACATGATGTACAGGTCTGGTGGATGGACTGGAGAAACTCAGAGGATAACCCAAACGGGGGAAGATCCTATAGAATTACACAATTTTAGTAAGTGTCATGAATATAATGAACAGGGCCTAGATTTTCGAAGCTCTCTTAGAGCTAAGATAGTCTTAAGTTAATGTTAATGTATGGCACTTACGACTATCTTAGCGCTAAGAGAGCTTCGAAAATCTAGGCCCAGCTGTTTTATTAATACTCTTCATAAAATGCAGGATCTTGTCATAACAGGACACTGACATACATCTGAGGATGATTATCAAAGTGACTATAATGGAGGTGTATACTATTTCTGAAAGTGAACGATCAGGAAGAGATGGATAAGGTAGTTAGTGAGAATAACCATAACGGCTGCAGTCATCATCTAACTAAACAATATCAGCATACACTACTCAAAAGAACGACCACCCATACTTTCATACAACTAAGGTTAATCTGTCATGGCAAAATACTACTACAGTAATATGAAAGAATTGTGTGGTCCTTAACCTTTCGCTAGTATACCCTGACAGTTATCTCACTAACAATAGGTTCCAGATATTATAGCAGGGCTCCAAATTCTGCATTACCAGTACTGGTATTCAATAAAGTAATTATAACAAATTGACAGATATAACGAGCTGCTTTTTTGGTCCCTGAAACTTGCTGTATATTTTAGTCAAAATGCATTGAAAAAACTATGATAATATATAGCTTAAACTAGTGGTCCCTGTGATTTAAAACTGCAGTTTATTGTATATCTTTCATATCCTTACCCAAGTTGCATGGTCGAGATGATGGACATGATGGCAGCTTTCACACTGTCGCAGCTCTGCTGAAGACTCACAGGTTCAGGAAAATAACACACGATTTATCAAATCAAACAAAAATCAGCTCTTCTCATCTCAAACTTTCTCCATTGCCACAAAATGTTAATAAACACTATGGAAAATAGGCATCTCAGCTAAAAATCTTTTCAATGTCATTTTCCTAGTAAGAAATGTTTTCTTACAGCAATGTTGTAAGTTATAATGAACCATCTATTCTTAGGTCCTTACAGAAAATGTCTATCTGACTACAAGATCATAAGGATACATGTCGATGTTAGAGAGTGAGGCTTTGTCAGCATCAAAGGCTGACCAATAGACATTGGATATCTTCTTACTCAACTCCTCGTACTGCTCCATGCTGCCCTCCAACTGCAACCCAAACACACACACAAATGGACCCCTCAGTCAATGCACAGTTTGTCACAATAGGCCTTAAATATTCAAGTGCAGGCTAGACAAACCAGTGGATGATATGATCCGCGTCTCATGTCGTGGGGTATGGTGACACACACACATCACCAGAGATCTTCACCATCCAAGTCAACTAACACAACAACATGCTTAGGAACAACTAGCATGGGGTGCTAAGGACCTTCAGGGGTAGTGAGATAGTTCATACATATAGATACTAGGGCTGCAATGAATACACTATGTGGCGACTATGATACGTATCATGAATATTGGATAACGAAAACCAAAAATTATTCACGAATACAATATTGTAGTTAAAGTGATTGATGTACAATATGGAACGGCCATGTTGACAGTGTTAATTTGTCACAGCAATAACCAGTGATCTCATAGCACTCAAATTTGGCATGTAATACTTATAATTGACAGTACCGTGCGGCCTTGGCAAACTAACATGACTTGCACTACTGCAATGCTAGTACATGTTCCATTCTTGCATATCTCACTTTGGAAAAGGACATAGGGGTTTCAAGTAAAACATGCTCCCTTAAAAAAAATCGTAAATATTCGTTAATATTCGGTTCTGGTGACCACGAATAACGAATTGAATTCATAAAGGGTTACTATTCGATTCACTGAATATGCAAGTGAATCGTTACAGCCTTAATAGATACATACAGCAACATCCTGTTGTCCCCAAACTATTACGTTGCTACCATGCTATCCAGATGATTACTACTGGAACATCTACAACTCCATATGAGTCTCTGCAAAACACAACCCAAAATAATCTCTCAAGGGATCACTTACTGTAGAATTTAGCGTCACTATAGGGACAATTATTTGCTGAGTGTAATTTTTTCAAACAAACTACATTTTTACCTTCAGGACTGGTGGCATTTGAACTTGTTATTTTGTACTATTTCACTTAAAGCACTACTGTCCGGATTAATCAGGTTAACAGGTATATGTATATTTGAAATCAGTATGGTGTATTGAGGTTTAGAAAGCCATCTGTATGTAAGGTTGGGCAGAACAACTGATGTATACTGTAGTTTACCTGTTGTACGATCTGACTCCAGCGGGTGCCCTCCTGCCCATTGGTAGAGGCAAGGGCGGTGGCGATGGCTGGAGGTGGGGCTGAGCGGAATGTGTTACAGGACAGTATCAACTGACGATGTGCCTGGAGCAGGGTGATCCTCAAGTTGACGTAGTCACTCTGGAACTTGAGGGGGTGCGTTGGGGAGCTGCCGGCCTGTTTCACAGATACATGCATGTACACAGGATTCTTCCATTAGCCCTCGTTGTCAGCTGATGCCATCTTGTTTGAAGTCACATGAGACTTTGTTTGGAATTGATAGATGGGTCTGATAACATTAGTGACTAACTGACTCATGAAAAGACTCAATACAACAGTGCATGGTATCACAATGGTAAAAGGTTTGTGACCTTTTAAATTGAATTTTGATCTCCCTAGGGAGAGAGTGAGAGTGAAAGAGAGTTTATTTCGCATAATGGCGTCATGGCCCAGAGTACAAAAAATACATACCAGTAGTTGTTTGTGTGCATACAATACATATACATAAATATAATGCATCAATATATAGCAGTCTGCCTGGGGAGGATACAACTGAAATTGTTTGTGCTAGACGTTAACATGCTATGAAGTATCCAGCTGGATGACAAAGTCACTTGTATATGAAAATGCTCTCCAATCTATATAAACTATTGTTGTTTGTTTTTCAGTGCTACACTTGACAATATGCTAGCTATATGACAACTGATTGGTAATATTCTTGTCTGGACTAGACAATCCAGTGATTTACATCACAAGTTTCACTGACAGTTAATACCAGGTTGTCATAATGGGACAGTTATCCATGCGATAGACACTGACCTTGAGAGAGACAAGAGCCTTCTGGTAGAATTCCAGACTGTCAGACACACACTGCAGGACGTTGCTGTTGTCTGTGACCACATGTCGCAGCTTCATCTCTGCACTGCATATGTGAGCAATCCCCATCAGCCAGTGGTAGAAGTGCTCAGATGCAACCTGTAATACATCATCACCACCACCATCATCATCATCATCACCTTCATCATCATCATCAGAGTGAGTATGTGAAATATACATCAACAAAATACAAGAAAATATTTAAATGGAGCCCAGACTTCATTTACATAATTTCAACCCAACTGGGCCCAGTTCCTCAAAGTGATCATAGCACTATGACAGTCGTAAGTCTATGTTAAAGTATGGGAGTTACGATCATCTTAGCGCTACAATTGTTTTGTGGAATGGGACCCAGGGCCCCTGATCCACAAAGCAGTCGTAACTCTATAGTTTATCATTGACTACAAATGTCGTAGTGCTACGATGGTTTTGTGGATCGGGACCCTGGATTGTTACAAATTATCAAGATCTAGGTCAAGTTTTATGGTAGCAATGATACAGCTTGTTAAGTATTTAGGAGATGACCATGAAAATAAGTGGACTCACTGCACATGACCTTACATTCACATCAGTCTTGAAAGTTCACATTATACTACAAAAGTCTTGAGCTTGGCATTCATATCTTAATACAAACAAATATTACAATGAGTGTTTTTAAATGACTGACAAGTAATATTGAAAGCATTCCAACAATTCGATTAAAATTAAAAATAGCATAAAACAGTACATTTGAAAACACAGCTACTTTTAAAATGCCATGTAAAATAGGTTAAAACTTAATATTTTTTTACCCATACACCTGTACGATGCACACAGACAGCTTTCTACAACTGCTCCCCAATGTCTGCCTACCTTGACTGTGAGGGGTTTGATGATGTCACCACCTATCTCATACTGGCTGTAACGTAGAGCCTGCCGAGACATCTTGTAAGCCAGCCACTGATTGGCCAGCCCAGCACATGTGACAATCAGTTCATGAATTTCATTGGGTATTCCTTCTCCACCAGCAGCTTGGAATAGCAGGGTGCACATGTACACCTGGAAATATAAGAGAACAGTAGAATACTAGTAGGTGGTTATACATTCGCTGACTGTTCTCCACACTACAAACAACTGAGTATCACCAACCTATATCAGTGAGACAGACTCACCTGTAGCTGTGGTATTTGCTGACTGTTCTCAACGCTACTCTCCAGACAACTGACAATGACCAACTTATATCAGTGAGACAGCCTACCTTTAGAATACAGCACCACAAACTTTAAAAATACGTCATAATACCCTTTTATGTAATTTAATGTGATTTTGTTTTGAAAGCACGTCTCGAAACAATGCCCTATGACGCCTGCATGGCAACACGGTTTATGGCTCAGCGAGTGCGTATAAGCTCCGCTCACTAGTGTTTCATCTCTACGAGTTATGTCATTGCATAAGCCCAACAATGTTGCGAGTTTCCAGTAGTTGTATACCGGCGGATGCGCAATATTTTTCTTTTTTCACTAATACGCTCATATTTATTTGTATTATGGGCTGCTGAGGTGTTATGTTTTGTGTATTTTGTATTTTGTAATTTTGTAAATTTACATATACATTTTTGTCATTCAGTAATTTGCACCATTACATAGAAAAGTGTTTTATTAGTATAATATTTTTCGAAGCAGTAATAATGCATTACACTAGACACATCAGTCGCGTTTGTGCCGGTTCGGTCAATGCATTCTATTTATTAGGATTAAATCAAGGGATTAGGGCTAGGGCTAGGGCTAGGGCTAGGGCTAGGGTTTAGAGCTTAGGGTTTAGGGTTTAGGGTTAGGGTTGGGGTTGGGGACCTAATGCAATATAGTAGGTACATGTCCGGTGGTTCGGTCAATGCATTCTATTTATTAGGATTATTTCAAGGGGTTAGGGTTAGGGTTAGGGCTGAGGGTTTAGGGTTTAGGGTTAGGGACCTAATCCAATATAGTAGGTACGTGCCCGGTGTAATATGTGAGTACCATTTGTTGTTTTTCCTTTTTACATTTTAATACTTTTTTTTCACACAAAAACGGGAAGCCAAAAACGTCAAAAGTACATTATGAAATGGGTTAATGTAGAAATTTTGGGCTAATGGAAATTGGCTTGGAATTTGCACTCAAGCCTCTTTCACACGCAACATAAATTTTTTGTAAAGTAATGATTCGAATGCTAACTCACCCTCGTGCCGTCACTACACATGCTCATGTCTCCCTCGTTCCTTAGTGCGATCCACATTATCCTTACAGTGTTCCCTACATCACTTTTCTGTCACAAAACCACCGATTTATATAAAAGCATCATTCATGCATGCACCGTGAAATCACGCCTGACCTGGCGTGAACAACCCTTTTCAGTTTGAGGCATATCGGCTCATTCCACGCCACACGTTAATTTGTAGAATACGGAATGGGACGAGTGTGCCAAATGGCATCGGATCCATTCGGCAATTGTCCGTAGAATAAAATCACGAGACACCAAGTCTACCCGTAGCATTTGTAATTGTCCGTGACCTATTTGACTTTTTCCGTTCATTTCCGTGACGTCACAGGAATGACTTGATAAATTTGCACAATGTGCAACAATGTGGACGTAGCTCAGTCGGTTAAATGTCGAGCTAACAATCCGAAGGTCACGGGTTCGCGTCCGACGGGTTCTCACAAACTGGTTGCTTGCCTTAATGACACGTGACCTACGGCAGAGATCATCCTCACGAAAAGTTGTGGTGCTGTATTCTAAAGGTGCTCCCAGTGAGACTGACTCACCTGTAGCTATGGTATTTGCTGACTGTTCTCAACGCTACTCTCCAGACAACTGACAATGACCAACCTATATCAGTGAGACAGACTCACCTGTAGCTGTGTTATTTGCTGACTATTCTCAACGCTACTCTCCAGACAACTGATTATGACAGGGACCACAAGCTGCAATGAGTGAGAGTTACTTGATCCAATAGCTGCAAGGGCTTCACATAAGACCTCAGCTTCAGAATCTGCACAAACCACAAAAAAGTTTATTTTCATCATTAGTGATTCCTGCCAAGCATGTAGAACCAGTGTATAACAGGTAACATTAATCCCTTTGATAGACATATCAACACAAGAGAAAACATTTCATTTTATTGCATAGTTAGAAGAATTGGTCTTCAATAACCCATGCTTGTCGTAAGAGCTGACTAATCAGATCAGGTGGTCTGGCTCGTCTGGATGAAGCATGCCCCGGAATCCCAGGTGTGGATCCATTCTCATGTCAATCACTGGATTGTCTGGTCCTGACTGACATGTTAAGACATTTTTGACATTGACAAAAAAATCTATAAATGTTTGTCTCCCATTTCATCTGTGAACTGCTTGTTATCAAATCACTCAGCATGATTGACATTGGATGAATGTAAACAGCAGACTTCATGGACAACCATTTCAGAGAATAGACGTAGTGTCTGGTTCAAGTTCTATGCCATTTTAAAGAGATTTGCAACGTGAAACCTGTCATGTCATAGTTATCTCAAACACATGAGGTAATTTGGACTCACCAGACACACTGGGCAGTAGTCCAGCGATGGTGTCTACAAATCCACCACAGAGAGTTGGTGACGTCTGACACAGTTCTACCGCACAGCGGAGGCACAGCTACAAACATAAAGTACAGTAATGTAAGCACAATGCTGATTTAAAAGGTCAACACAATAAATGTACCAGTAACTGAATTCTGTATGCTGTTCTGATTCACCCCCTCCTTCTGTCAAAAGGATCAGATGTGTTTGCAGACAGCCACACTTCCTTACCTCAACAAAACAAGGTCAATGTGTCTTCCCTCACCTTGAGTTCTGTGTGCTGTTCTGATTCACCCCCTCCTCCTGTCAACAGGATCAGATGAGTCTGCAGACACCCCACTGCCTCTCCAAGAAGGTCAATAGGACAGCCTAAAATATCACATATATTAAGATGAGAGATAATTTGGAAATTAGAATAGCACAAGTATGCTCAACATATATGCTAACTGCTAATGAAATCTCTGGTCTTCGTAACATATATAATAACCTTAGATCATTATCATAACAAATATTGAAAGATGGTTATACACAAAATGGCAAAGAACACTCACGTTTTGATTTGGCGAGCTGTGTAAGAAGCTGAACAGTCCGTGATGCCAGAATCAGGTTATCGTGGTAACAGTACTGCTGGCACAAATCCAGCAACTTTGAGTCTAAAACAAGCAAAATAAGATGTCCTTTTGTCATAAGTCAGGTGAGGTGAAATTGGGTTTAACGTTGTGCTTGAGAATATTTCGCTCATATGACGACGTGCACGCGTGTGTATGTGTATGTGCGGCTGCTTGTACTAGACCAGACTTAAGCTGGTTTTATAGTGCTAGCCCACTGAGATACCATGCCGCAGTGAAGCATTAATACCCCACTCAGACACATTATACTGACTCCGAGCCGACCATTCCTTGTTGTACCCATTAATGCCAAGCGCCACGCAGGGACCAACAAGTACCATATTTTAACGTCTTTTGGTATGACGCAGTCAGGATCGAACCTGCGACCTTCTGCTCGAACCCGCGACGCAGTCAAAAACTGTGAAAACTAATCACTTTATATTGCGACAAATATACCTACCACTGATTCATAAATGACCATGTTAGTTCAGACATGTCATCCATGTTCACACAAAGCCACACCAGTTGACTGACTGACTGACTGAGTTTGGTTTTACGCCGCTTTTAGCAACATTCCAGCAACATCACGGCAGGGGACACCAGAAATGGGCTTCACACATTGTACCCATGTGAGGATTCGAACCCGGGTCTTCGGCGTGACGAGCCAACACTTTAACCATTAGGCTACCCCACCGCCCCACACCAGTTGGAAAAGACACAACAACCAAAGCACTGCAGATATCGAGACACTGGTTTGACTGCAGCTGACATAACATACTAAGATGGCAGCCAGAACAAGCCGTTGCTTAAACCTATCCCAAGGGATAAAATACCTGAAGTGAGTGGAAGCAGCTGTACGGCCACCGAGTTGAACACCGTGGTGAGCACACTGACACCACCGACCTTCAGCTTCACCGACGGGGTTGCCAGCACAAACTGACACAGAGTCTGCAACAGATGAACACATGATTAACAAATAAATTCCAACTACAAGTGATAACCTGTGCTCTATATATCCTGTGGCACTGAATTGCCAGATTTCAGAAACACAGCAATTTTGGTGCTGCAATGATCATGAGCCTATCTAAGGTACAGGAGTTACGATCACCTCAGGGCAAAGATCACTTTATGGAATGGCACCCTGGACCCAGTAATTCAGAAATTGGACATCATTTATTTTTCCATGAGCAGCAGCACAAGATAAACAATATAAATTTGTCTCACTAATTACTGACACATCATGACTGATACAGTGAAACCCTGACAGTCCCCACCAAATTCTGGACAACTCTGTTACATGCATATCTTTGTGGTCTTGATGGGGCATACTGCTTAGTGTAAAAACAGTGAAAAGATGAGACAAATTTGGGTAGCAAAAGATGACTGAAAATTGTTACACACACTGACTCAATTTCATTGTTTACCTCAATAAAGCCAGATGTCCAAAGATGTGGCCCTTTTTTAGCAAGTAGTCTCAGGTCCTGTAACACAATGACCTTGACCCCATGGCGAGGATCCTGGTTAAGGAAGGTGAGGAGGAACTGGACTTGTTCCTGAAGGTCATACAGCGATAGAGCTGCCAGCTGGGACATTGTGTGTAGTGTCACCACCACCAGGTTCTCTGCAGGGAAACTCTCCAGGAGGGTGAGGCAAATCTCCCGAGTCTGGTGACAGAATGTATACCATGTTTCAGGGTTGAAAGCAGGAGAAACTAAACATTGTAAAGAACTGAAGACAATAAATCACGAAATCAAAGTAAACTTGAAAACACAACTCACCTTGGCAGCTGTTGTGACATCATGATGCATGTGTTGCATGATGGGAATCAACTTCAGCTTCATGTTGACGGGTGTCGCAATACTGCAGATCATGTCAGCAATCTTACCACAGATACTTGCAGCAAAGGTTCTGTAAGGTAAAACCACACTGTGACTACACACTACAACATCATTGTGACAGGTAAGACAAACCTCCCAGAATATATATATATACATTGACACAATACTGAAAAAGGTTTTCAAACTACAAATCACAAGTAAAGTATTCCGTCCTGCTTCAATATCCCAACAATGTTGATCACTGAGATCGTTAATCGTTAACAAAATATTGATTATTGATAATTATCGGAAAAGTAACTTAGAGAAAAACGGCCAAAACATGTCTGAAAGAAATGAATACATTTCCCACCCATGGTGAGTGGCGACATGTTTAAGCATGGGTTGCTATCAAAACAGCATCCTGAGCATAATTTAGAGTCAGCCCATGACTAAAAACCTAACTTTGTGCATTGTATGAGTAAATCAAAACTTTATTCTGTCAAAATAGTTTATGCATGATACTATAGATGACACTTATTCATATTAATAATTTTTCCTATCTACGATATTTCCAATTATCGATCTTTTTAGTGTGGGCACTATATGTGTTAGATTAAAGATGATCTGTCATCTGAGCTGTGAGAGAACAGTAAAGACTGAATTATGTTCTAAGTTAGATTCAATCTGTATCCCTAGATGCTCTATTAATCTTCATGTACAATCAAAGTCAAATCATGGACATGTAACCATGTGAGGAAACTAACCAGGTACTAACGAACCTCTAGGTCATCTGACATGGACATTGGGCTACTGATGCTGTCTGAGAAGATATCATTTAAATGACAAATCATTATGTCCTGACATGTTTTATCTCAAATTTCACTGAGTTCACTGAAGGTATACGATGTAGAATTCTCCTGTGGCTAATACTCAAAATAAATTTTTTTCTCCAAAATAGTGACTTGCCTAGAGGGGTGTGCGCATTATGCTTGCGAACTAAACGCAAGAAAATACAGTATACAGTTTTACATAATAATTCACCATCATATCCGAGAACAAAATGAGTGTGTTTACTTAGATTCCTTTGCAAAGCGATCAGCAGCAAACATAGCAGCCTCTACTTCCACCATGTCATGTGAATCAAGACTCTGTTTGATACTATGATGGACATTCTTCCTCTCTGAGATGATACCAGCAATACTGCCCAGGGTCCTGTGGAATAACACAATACAACATCACACACAGCAGTATTTATGGGATTGATAACGGACCTTTCATAATTTATGACTTGGGGAGTGAAGATGATTTTAATGTAGATGCATGTACAATGTGTATGACCCCCTAAAATCTATGTACAAAGTAAGTGAACCACCCTGCATGCCATGTAAAAACATCAATGACAACACCCACCCACACCCCACCCCCACACACATACTAATTTTAAGCATAATTTTAAAATACATTTACATACAAAGTTGCTGACCCCCCTAGTACATGTGTACAAAATGGAGACCCCCACCCAAAAGCCAAGAGTCTTTAAATATTTACCTCAAAGTGATTGCCCTCGCCACAGGGTCATTGCTGTGAATAACTGAAAATATTCTTCTTACAAACTCATCAACGTTGAGAATCTTGTCCAGGTGTTTGCCACTCTGCTGTGTGACCTTGAGGATGCACAAGCGGATGAAATTGTTACTGTAACAGACATTAAACATCCATCAGTCTTTGACCTGAAGCATATCATCTTGCAAGAACTGATGTCTATACATGTACTATTATAAGATTAGATTATATTTGGTTAGTAACACTTCTTAATGAAAAATGTCTAGATAGCTGACAAATTACAAAGGCAAACTGCAGTCCACAAGGCAATGTTTGCAAATCTACCTGTAGCCTCTTTTTTTAAGATGCAACATAAACTAATAAATTATCAGCAATATCAACATGATTGAATTCATAATTAGTAGTGTATAGTCTAATCCTTGACAAAAGTTGTAAGTAAGCAGTTAGTATGGTCAACTATTAACATCATAGATATGAATCTACTGACATGATGCCAAGAGAAGAATGTTTTTGTTTCATTTGTGACATTTGTTGACAAAAAATGTCTCTCTTGTTATTAATCATTGATGTGGTGCCGAGTATTCATTATAGACAATATAGTCCCACGATACATCTAGAAGGCCTTCGAAAATGACAAACAGTCACACACTACTGGTACCATCTCTACATTGAAAACCATATGTGACGTGTGTAAAATATATTTGTGGACAGGTAGTTTTCATATTTTGATTATCTGGTATATTTATTTGTCCTGATTATAAGTTCTTTTGTAAACTCACCCTTCCCTAAACACATCAGCTAACTTCAGCAAAGCTGAATTTATGAGAATTGGGAATGGATATTTTTCAAACAGCCGAGGGTATTTCACAACTGCTTCACACTGCAATCCTATGCGATTGGATCGCAGGCCTGAAAACCCAAAACAAAATGATGTAACTCAACAAGCATGACTCTTCTTTAGGGATTCTGAGCTTTCTATTTGCTGTCAACTTTATACATACACATCTCTGATCTGGGAACGTTAGTGCAGTTCCAATAGGGATCCATTCCAAACATCCACGCTCATTCTAATGTTTAGATGATGTTAATGGAATCTTTTCTATTAGTAATTTATGCTGAAGAGGTCGTTGTCGGCACAGGTACTATAGATATGTACTCCAGATAGATTTCTGCATACAGAAATGAACCCTAAACAAAGTCAAAATGCAGAAAATGTACCCGATACTCTAAACAGCGGATGAGTCCATATTCCGCAATAGCGAATCCAAAACAGTATGCATTTGTTCCTGTTAAACAAGAGACCATATGACGCAAAATATGCGTTACTGTGTATACCTGTTTCTTATACATATCATGTATACCATGAACAGAAGATCTTCGATAAAGCATGACGGCTTGTGTCTAAGGAAACATATCATACCATTTAATTACATTTTTATTCAAGAATAATCTTATCAATAATATCATCACACATGACCTCTTGTATCTCAGGAAAGTACTCAGATGATATCACTATAATGTACACTATTGCCTTTCAGATAGTTCAAGTTGATACTATAATTATAAAAAAATCAAAACAACTGGTAGTAAGTGTTTAGGGGAGTCCTGCACTTTACCTGGCGCAATTTTCAGATTAATCAGAGCTGCTGTGGCTCGAACTCGCTTCACCGGATTACTGACTTTGTTAACTAGTGACATAATTGGATTAGTGACGTAATTGGCGGATGCTCTACCTCAGGACCATGAGCACCATCACAGTTAATGAGTGCTCGTTTAACGGGTCATTTGCACAGAAGTTTACATTTCTCGTGCTCCACTGTGCCACGCCCTTCCCATTCATTTTTTTCGCGCTATTATTTCTTGGACTGTGCTGACGAGTACCGGATGGATAGAAATGTGTTTCAACTGGATATAATAGGATTATACTGCCCTAAGGTAAAGTCAAACCCTAAATAATAATCGGAAAGGGTCCTTAACTCTACCACTCTCCCAACCCTAACCCTAAGGATCGGAAAGGTTCCCTAACCCTAAGGATCGGAAAGGTTCCCTAACCCTAAACCCTAAGGATCGTAAAGGATTGTTTGACTCTAAAGATGCAATAGTCCAGCATATAACTAGACGACTGCACTGTAGGCCTTGGCTGGAATACGAGTTTATTCATATGAACTAGATGCAAGTGAAGGGAGACGGAGCAATTACCGCGATATAGCGAGACAGAGCTGGAGACAGTGCGGTAGCGGTATAGCGCGATAATTGCCCCGCAGCGAGCAGCGAGGGTTGCGCCCGGTAAAGTGCATTCTAGCCGGGTTTAGTGTCAAAAGCATTTAGGTGATCGAAATCTGAACCATATCAAACAGTTCCATTTTCGATCGCTGAACAAGCGCGACAGCTTCGCGCAAATTGTCGGTTATTAGCACGATAATCCATATATCCACTGGCATTTAAGCACCTTTGTCCAGCTCTGTTAAAGCGGAGTTAGCATCTTGTTCTTGCTCAGCAGAAACCCCATCAAGACTGGGATTCACATTTCGCACTCCGGCAATGGAGGCCGCCATTTTGGGTACGCTAAATTTAGGACTGGTTATTTTGTAAATTCTTAGTAACCCAGACTAAATAAAAAGCATAGAAATGTGATTATTAGATTTACATACACGTTGAAATATATATTTCAACCTGCAACATTTTTAAGACATGTACCATTTTTCAAACACAACATTACACCAAGGGAATTATTTCGTTTGTTCTAAAGTCCATAAAATGGTCACATGACAGAAAGATGGCGGACGACCCGAAAAGTGCCCTTGCATTGCTGAACGGCATAGCACGGCGAAATTATTACGGGGATAAAGATATAACTGACAGTTTTCTAAAGGATGAAATATACCCTGATCTTCCAGAAGAACAGTTTAATCAATTACTTTCGAGATGTTCTTCTTTGTTAAAGGTAGCTAACTTTATATGAAACGACGATGCCTTCAAGTTCTCATCTCAAACGTGGGGAAACACCCCCTTTTACATTCAGTGTCCGATCTCTTGATCTTCCATTTCACTGCAAACTTTAGGAATATCTTGTTTTGGGTATAAGTTAGCACAAATCATAAATACCCTTTCAAACCAATTTCATGAGCCTGGTGGTTAACAGATTACTGGTAGCTTCTGATGAAGCAAATGTGTCTTTTTCATATTTCAAGTTTGTTTGCTTGGTTTGCTTCATGTTATTTTATGATTAATGATTGAAACTTTTGAATGATCTACATTTCAGAACATATCATGTTAATTACAAAGAAACAGATCTCATTATTATTTTGTATGATACTAGTCAGTTACATGTGATGCTATTAGCATTGAATGTCAGGTTAGCTCAAGAGGAAGAGGTATGACATTGTACACTAGATATGGAAGTTATCAGATGTATTATGAGAATGAGAATTAAAACTTGTTCTTGGATCATCATGTAGAGGTTATGTTAAAAGTATGTCAAATTACAGCATGTGTGGAAGAATGATGATGTCACTTGTTTGACAATGGCATTAGAATCTATATTGAAACATCGCCTTTTACAAAACATAGAAGTTGTATATCCATAAAAATGTATCATCATTCTTCATCACCCAAACTTCTAAAATGCCATAAAGGAAATCATACATCACATGTTATCTGGAAGCATTATTCATATACTAATAATAATTACAAAGCTGATTTTCTTAGGGTCAGGCTGCATAATAGACTAAAAAGATTTGTGTCTCAGGCTCATTCTTTTTAAAAATGTTGTGTGAGGAACACTTTTTAATTGTTTCCCACCAAGAATACAACAAAAAACAGCAGGGCATATATGACATTGAAGAGAGCTCTTAATACAATGTCAGTTGTCAGGGTGACAAGGTGTCTTTTGTATGACCTATGAAATTCAAACAATGTTTATTCTACTGACAAATAAATTACCAACATTCAAATCTAAACAATGCACTGATGCTAGTCACTTCTATTGTTATTTTAGTCCACAGACTGTACAAACATTTGCAGAATAGATTGCCTTAAGTCACAGAGTTAGAGTCATAGTGTTAAGTATATCTCCTTTTTGTGTGGTAAGTAATATGTCCAATACATGCAAGTGATTAGAATTGAAAAGCTAGTTATCTGTCAATAAAAACATAATATTTCAAAGTCTTCCACATCTTTGAATTGACAATGTTCATAGAACAGATATGATATCATTACAGAGCATGGTGTCAGCAGACATGGATATGACCCAACTTGAAGCTTTTATCACTGCACAGATGAAACGAAAAGAAGGCGCTCTAACAGAAGCCCAAGCTAATGTGTTCAGAAAGTTCTGGAAAACTAATAAGACCAAAATACATGACAGTATTGTGGCTCATACAACATGGGGTAATTCACTCCAGAAAGTGTCCTGGAGAATTGACTTGAAATCTCAGGCTCGACACATTGATGAGATTAACACTCCATCAGCAATTATGGAATTGCACATCAGTGATGGACAGAATATTGAAAAAGTAAGAGTTATTTAGAATATTATGTAAACAATATCATTTTCAGGAAAAAGGCAGGATTATTGGGAAAAAAAGTCAGAATATATTCTAGAACTGCTTGAACTTTTACTGTATAGATGTTTAAGTTTAGTTTGTGTCACAGTCATTCCATCCATCACTATTATTTGTAAACAATACATTGAGTTTTACAGATTGCCAATTTTGGATAAATTTTAAGAGCTTCATGTACTCAAATGCATGTGTCATAAAATCATTTGGTTTTTGCTCAAAACCTATTGACCACAACAAACCATAAAACAAGGACAGAAGTTCATCTGATCTGCATGACATGATGATCACAGCTTCAATTTCTAGCATTGATAAGTATAAACTGGTTTATGATGATATGAGTTGTTCTCTTTTTCAGACTGGTGATGTTGTTCGTTTTGAAATGGATGAAGACCATTTATCATCAGTGTTACAAAGCATGCAAGAGATTGAAGAAGAAATCGCCAAAAACTCACAGTAGTGATATATCTATGTTGTTTTTACCATCTCTTTATGTATTGAAAACTGGACACACATCAGTCAGACATCTGATCATACATATATACATGGTGTACAATGAGGTTGTTGGGTCTCTCCACATCAATCAGTTTTAGCTTATTCTATGTATAATGAATCTTAGTATTCTGTCCCTTGGCCATCTGAGACACACCTTACCAAATTAACTCCCTTTGTTTTCCAAGAAGAGCAAACAGACTGGACCCTTATAGAACTGGGAAAGGTTTGGATTCACCTCAAGCATTGCAGAGAATTTCTTCTATCGTCTTCGGACAGAGGCGAAGAAATCAATGGACATTGATAAACATAATGGAATTGTAATGACTGTAACTATGGTAACAAGAGTCTCTGAATGTGAGATACTGGAGAGTACAGAGAAACTATTATGTGACCCTAGTCACCCCTAGACCCTAAGCCTAGTCGTATCTGTTGAAGGTACAGATAGTTTTCATCGCATCGGTTATTTTTACACAAGTTCATGATTTGTGTAGTATGATATGAATGTGAAATTGTATAAAATTAAACTGTTGTGTAACTGAAAATTAAGCTCTTAATAAACTATGGATGAAGTAGATGGTTGTTTTACATTAAAGTTGCCAGATCATGTTCCTAGTTGTGGGTTTGGTTATTGCACACTTTCAGTCATTTGACTGACAGCGAAGAAAGTCACTCACAACTGTCCTTTAAACCATCAGTTTGGCATCATTTACGTTAACTTAAAACAACTTAAAATTTTCTTAGAATTACCGTTGAAAGAAAACATTTCTCTCTTTGTTGCTTGCAAACCACAGAATTATGAGTTAAATTATACCTGTCCTGTAACTTAGTTTAAAACTATTCCAAGTCAATATGAATTTTTCATATAAACATTTTAGTGATTATCTGTAATGAAATGGTGCTTAATTGAACACTACCATATACAAATGTACATGCTGGGTGTTAAATAATTTATTCCTCATGACACAATCACACCCATAATCCAATTCTCTAATTTAGGTACCATTAGTTTTGTGTGTTATGAAAGTATTTCAGTGGGATATCTCTCTGGTTACACAAGAACTCAGTACTGCCTTAAACACCATTTATACTCTTTTTAAAGTGTCTGTATTAATAACTGAGTGATTACATTGAGGAGAGAGAACTCAATGGGACTAGTCCTTTGTCAAACAAAATCTGCTGGATAAAGGTCATAGGTGTTTACTTCTTTGATAAAAAGACAAATGCAAAGTGCATATGTGTTATGGGTCTAGATCTGGAACAGTCTGATTTTCAGACTATGATTAGCAGTCTTTAGCAGAAGTGATCTTTGAAGGCAAGAATTTATGGATGTGAGCATTGTGATGGACAGGACAGTTGGGCAGGGTGATTATGATTAGCAGATTCTTGTTTCACACCACCAACACTGCACAATTCATTTAGCACACCCCCTGTTTTATCCAGAGAATGCCCTTGATAGGCATCACCTTAATTAATTGCCAAAACACAAAGTCAGCTGTCTAACTTGCTCAGCCACTGCAGCTTCCAACCAACCTTAAAAGCAGAAATTCTCTTAAAGGGACATCAGTCAAATATCTAATCAGACCTGTTTAATCTTTTTCCTGACAGAAACTACTGCATACTGTGTATGTTATTTGAAACAAGTCATCTTATGAAGCCAGAAAGCATACTTGGGTGTTCAGATATATTAAGTGTATTTAGTATTGGCTCTGTGCTGTTTTGACCTACTAGTTGTTGATACAGTCTTCCATCTCCACAGGCTCTTGCTCACCCTTACCATGGCAGAATCCAATAAGGCAATGATGGACTTCAAAGTTCAGCACACATACGGCTTCTTACTCTATCTTATTGAGTGAGAGAGTGAGGTTCAGTTAAGGTGGCTGTGAAAACTATTTTAGTAATATCACACTGTGTCATCTTGTGGGGAGAACAGTTGAACACAATTGTAAACATATATTTTCAAGAGCCTGCTTTTTAATAATAAGGATGATTATTATCATTATTTATGATTTTAAGGCTATACAGTTAAACTTTGCTTTGCTTTGTGGTTATTAATTGACTACTTTCTTTTATAATGATGCTACGTTCGGTATAGATTTTATATACCATTGTCAAGACTAACCAGACTCTGGAATCTATACCAAAAAATAATACTATAAAGAAATTGTCATCCTTAAAGTATCATATCTTTATTGTTACTCGTCAAGTTCTAAAACGCCAGTCAAAACATCAGTCAAACAGATCGTGTGCGGAGGGATTTCAGGGCGAGAATATCTACCTAAATCTACCTGCAGAGTTAATGTGCGAAATCTAACACTCTATTACGTTGAGATGGGCTGAGTATTGTACTGACATTTGGCCAAACGAGTAATGTTGCTATTAACAGATTATATGTATGTTGCCATTCACGTATATAACACTATGAGTTTTATTTGAGCGATGTCAGGCATACACAACGTAGCGGGTCCACAACTGATTGCTAAGGTGTGTTGGGCCAATGTTGGTATATGGTTGGTTGGTTGGCCAACAGTTTGACAACATTGGCCCAACGTTATCTTAATGACTTAAAAGTAACGGTGGCTTTTGACACGTTGGTTCAACAGTGGGCCAACATTTGAAAAACTCTGCCTATTTTTCCTGATCTTACATCTATTTCAAAAAAGTTGGGCCACCGTTGGCCCAACATTGTGAATAAAAGAGTGAGCACACGGCCATTTTTAGCAATGTTTTCTTATAAAGATTTTGATGAAAGTTGAAATAATTACACAGACAAAAAGAAAGAATCCATTTCCCTGTCTTTCAACTATGATGCAGTGAATTTTACAGCGTTGTTTTCTCCAAATTGAATACCAAACTTGTCATCATTGATAGCTTTACCTGATATTCAAAGAGCAGACGACACTACATTTCTGGAGGCCTTCAACTGGTAAATATGCATTGTTATTTCTGTGATACTGAATTGCGAATATATTGTGAAATAATTGGTTTAAATCATCATTTAGGCAAAAGAAACTGACACATACTGTATTGAAAGGCAATTGCTTGAGTAGATAAAAGATTTAATTGACTCTTTTCTTTAGGTAGCCTGTTTTAACCACTTTGATAAATCTCATTTCATTTTAAATTATTTAAATTTATTGTGTTTACTTTATTAACATTATGTGTTTGTCAGTTACACTCCTGTTTCCATATACAACTCTCTCTATTATTCATCTTTACAACCAATAATTGCTAAACATCATCATATCAGATATATGTGTCACAGTTATAGTAGTTACACGTCATATCCAAATAACACATTATTTGAACAGCATTCTAGAAGTTGGTGAGTCCAAAATGAAACATACAACTCTATGGATGACAACTTCTTGTTTATTGTATAGAACGATGTTTCGATGTAGATTCTTACACAGTTATCAAGCTAAAAGTGACTACAAGCAAATGATGAAGGTATATATACATGTACAGAGTATGTTTTGTCAAATAAACATAATTTGGAGCGGCCAGTTGGGGACTAAGAACAACAAATGGATCTAGTGATGAAACCAGCGGAACCACCTACAACATGTCTTCACGGGCCTCAACCAGTAACCCACCAACTCATAGTTTGTTTGATTTCATTTGAGACCAATGAATTGCTCACTAACACAAAATCTAAAATTGCAAGAAAACCAAATTTTGCAGTCACATGAAACGACAGACCAATGAAGAACTAATCAAACTATAGACTCTATCAAAGCACCCTATCAGCTTGTTGTTACAACTGAATCCCCCCTTGTTTATTGGCTTCATCACCATTCCATTTGTTGTTCTTAGTCCCCATCTGGCCTCTCCCAATAATGTACCAGTTGTTATTCAATTACATGTTGTTGTTAATGTCAAACTGCTGATTGTCAAAACATACTACGCATATATACTTCTCATCATTTGGTTTTAGCTTGATAACAGTGTAAGAATCTACATCCGAACGTCACTCTGTGCAATAAACAAGAAGTTTTCAATCATTAAGTTGTATGTTTCAAATAAAACATAAGGTCAAATACTATGTCCTTTTACGATAGTTCTCATGTTTAAAATTATGATATCTGACAGTTTCATGAAATTTTTGGGTTGTTTTTTTCAGCAGCAGTTCGAAAAACCTGTCAGCGGCGACAGCCAAAAGACCTAAGACAAGAATATTTTCAAGAAATACAATAATGTTCAAATAACAATGAAAAAAAAGAATTAAATAGTTCACTTGATTAACTTGTTGTGTTGTTTATATATGTTTCTGATTGCAGAGGTCAGGAAAGAGCTAAATGTTGAAATACAGTTGTGCCAACATAAGGCCAACTAAATCACATCGTTGGGCCAAGTATGGGCCATGGTTTAGTACAAAGGTCAAGAAAGAGCTAAATGTTGAAACACGGTGGTGCCAACATAAGGCCAACAAAATCACTACGTTGGGCCAACTATGGGCCATGGTTTTGTGTGAATTTTCATTCGTTGGCCCAACAATCAGCCAACATGATGGGCCAACGTGGACCCGATGAGCATATCCAAGTGGGCCCATCGTCAGTTTGCCAACAATGGGCCAACCAAACTGGTGATTATGGGCCAACTATGGGCCAACATACCAATGCTATCTGGGAATTAGAGAATAACCAACGAACTAATTGTAATTACGGATTATTTGGTTCGGGACACCAGTCTGCGCTGGGGAGAGATAATCCGTAATTTTGAGTTTCGATAGGTTAGAAACAAAACTAGGACAGCCCTGAACAGAGACTGAAGGCACACAATTGTTCTGATGACGTAATATAATCAGTCTGAGACGTCATGAACAATGGATTACGCCATTTCAACAATATCGGATCTTTCTAAACAATGAAGCCAAGTGACGTCATATGACATCATGAGGAGCTCTAAAATGCACTTGTGCAAACACTGGAATGATATACACTAGAAGTGAAAATGCATAATTTCAGATAAGGGTTGCTCCTTTTTTTTAATCTGTCCTCCAAACTCCGGGAGAAAGACTAGTGATACAGCTATCCGAACCACGATCCTTTACGATGGACTGGCGACGGACGGCTCGCCGTGACATGCTACACACACCAGATAATGCATCGGTTCAGGCTGAGACAATATCTATAATGCGGTGATCTGAAAGGATTTACAAGCATTTATACCTATATATCTAGATGTTCCGGTTCTAGTCGATTGCTTTCGATTTGTGCATGTTGATTAAAGTTAACCAGGGTACTTCAGGGGTTAAATGAGGTATGACCAGATCAACTCAACCCACAGTACCGTGTATATATTCTACACTAACGAGTTTGCTGATATATAGGTTACATGTAAGTATTCAGTGTTTCCCCAACCCGTTTCACCTATTTCCTGTTCATTAAGCTAGGGGATTTACACTAATTAATATCAATGTCCATGTAATCAAATATACAGGATATCAATGTTCTTATCACCCTTACATAGAATGTTTAATATCGAACCTGTCTTTTGAATGCGACACTTTTAAAATCGAATGTAATTTGTTTTGTTACGTGACTAAAACGTTGAGGGTGATGTAAGGTATTAAATTCCCCCCTAGAACTATTCATAACACCAGGGATAATCTACTATTCTCCCTGATAACACATGTGTTGGCCCGGGAAAGCGAAATTTCAATATTCCCTATTCCCGGTAAAGCGAAAACCAAAGTTGTGCTAGAAGTGCCGCGAAAGCGAATTGCTATGAAAACATCGGATTACCGTACTGTACTTCAGATTAGTGCGCGACCCCAATACTCGATTTGTTAGCCTCTTAACTGAGATGGAGTTTCAGCTGTTTCAAGTTTCAGCACTTGATCTATGACAAGTTTAAGCATGGGTGTAGGAAAACCCTCTGAGAAAAGAAGTATTGGAGCTGTGTAGTAAAATTTGTTTGTTGTTTGACTTACTGGTATTTGACTATTTTATTTAATCCACCCTGCAAAGACGGTTGTTCGAGCAGATCTCACTAATTCTCAGTTAACTGGGACAATTGCTGTCACCGACATTTTGGCTGTCGGTGCTTTCAAATTTGATATTAAATCTAGGTGTATCTGTGCAGGTATTCTAAATAACACTAAATTTACAATAAGTATCAACCTCCATTAAGACTGCAGTAAGTTATATTGTGTATTGAGAGTCCCGGGAACGCGAAATTCAGTGTTAACTGTAGCTTGACCGTTTCCGCGAAAGGGAAACCTAAATTGAGGAGGTTTAGTCCATATTTCACTTTCCCGGGCCATAACCATAACAAAGATATGTATGTACGTGTTGTTGCGTATAACGCTAGCGGTATTACATAACTAACAGATGTACATAGCTAAGTGATTATGTAAGGAGCTCTTGATATGCTGCGTCTCTCCTACGGTGACTAACAGTACTCGGAACTAGAACAATGAACCGTTTACTTCAGATATGACAGTCTTGTGTCAAACAGGTTGAATCACGATAATTTGCAATCTGAAATTAAAGCGTCGGAACAATCCCTTGATAACAATAAGTAATGTATTATTCATATCTTCCTTGTGTTTTTTGTTGTTGTTTTCACGTCTGTTTACTTACATTAATATAGATACACCTTGACGTTAGTCCAATTGTCAAAAGTCACGTTACTTCATTGTTTTATATTTTCTCTTAATGGAGCTAACAACAGAATAAACGTGCAAACGCTAACACCGTTCAGCACCCATGCAATTTGCAATACCTGTACAAACAAAGAAATTTCACTTGAATTTACTTTTTTAAAATAAGATAATTTATATTACCGCAAAAATTGTCTCAGGGTAGCATGTGTGTCAGTCGATTTCATTTGGTTCATTTCGAGCAATCTGTCCCCTTTGTACAGGAAAATCCTATATATATATTTCTGTTTAAATAAGCAAGTGAAACAGATGTTATCGAAGTGATATAAAGAACACCCCTGGCCTGCACATTTCTGCTTCTCAAGCAACAGTCATATAAAAAATAATGCCACAAATGTCGAACTCCAAACTTTACCATGTATTTTATGCATGTCAGTGGTGAAAGATATACGGATTTTTAGAAACCGTAACAGTTACGCATACTATTAATTCACAGTTCCTCTTATTTGCATGCAGTGCAAATTACTCGGTGATCCTAGTAGTGGTGTGCGGACTGATAAATCAGCTGTATATTCACCGTTGTCATTACTCCCACATAATAGGATAACTGCTTAGTATCAACAGTCCACTTGGTTTCTATACGTGAACTTTGACACCGGTAACCCGACCTACATGTTGCCTAGCGACTAGCCCGAAGTCCACTATTACATCATCAGCTGACAGGGCCACGTGTATATCGACAACAGTCATTTTCATTTCTGTCATACATCAGTTTGAGAAGAGATCTCGTGCTTAGGACACAAGCCCAGGTGACTATGGCGGAAGTGTGACCAGAGGATACATTTCAGCTGGATGGATGGAATGAGATTTGTGTAGAGTTATGAAGAGATAAACACCAGGTACGTTCTTGAGCGTGAATGATTTATTTATAACTATGACTATTGTTTTCCGTTACAGTTATAAAGTTTACTAGAGCCAGGGTCCTGTGAAGTAAGAAAGACTATCGACACACATTCACCTATGTGGCTACGTTATATGCGACCATTATGTTTGCAAAAATGCAAACAACCAACGTTTTCTTTTAAATTTTCTTGTTTAAAATTTGTTGTTTCTATCACGGCTTCTTTAAGTAACACCATTTTCAATGTTAAATTTGTGACAATCCTTGTAAATATACGTATTTAATTCATCAATTTTTTAACATACGATTTTGAAAGCGAAGAATACAATTAATTACATTTGTTCTGGAAGTTAACATATTAAACTGTTGGCATAGAAACAGAAATTTTGTCTTCAGAGAAAAGGAAAGTGTAAAAGCTTGTAGAAATGAATCGACAAATACAATATGTCATCCTTGAAAGTACACCAGGTCGCTCGTTCTCAACTGCATTCATGTGATCATAATTTCGAAAATGAGGAAAGAATCGCATTTGCTTCGTTAATTTGTTTTCTGCCAGTGCGCTTCTCTCAATGAAATAAATCAAGTCATGTGTCTATTCAAATTTAATAACTGAAATATTACAGACTATATTGAAACAAACCGTGTTCCAAATGTTAAGTGCCCTAAATATAATCCATCTTGCAATTTGATGAACATATGTATCTGATTATGACAGTGTGCGATAACAGTTCTTTATATCATGACGCTTATGTTTTAATCGTACAGGTACAGCACGTGGTACGAGAGTTACCCGCCCTTTCTCCATTCGACCTTCGCTGAGGAAGTGGACCGGCATTTGAGATAGGACAGGTCCAAATTCCAAGAGAAATCAGCCGATATGTCACTTCTTCGGCGTGTTTTGTCCTACACCAGTGATCCGGAGGTAGTGGCAAGATTCCAAAAGGCATGTGGTATCATCCATACACCGGATTTGGTCAATTTTAATGACGAAAGCAAGCATAATGGTGATATAAACCGGCACCTCAACGGTATTTCTCCAGACACCTATCCGAATGGGAAATCTTCGCTTGTAAACGGTGTTTATTCCAATGCAGGTAGTAAAATGGATTCCGAAGTCTCAGACAATAAACCACACAGAAACCAAGATTCGGATTCACCACTCAAACACAGGAACGGTGCTGTGAAAAACCATGAAATTACGGATAAAGACAAGAAAAAGGCAGTGAACGGTGTGATACGTACTGGTACAGTGCCTTTCCGCATCGAAAACGCCTTCTTGTACTATTTATTTTCTTTCGGGGCACAACTTGGAAATGCTCTATTTTATGTAACATTTTATTCCTTCTCCTTTTGGAATTTTGATTCTTATGTTACCCGGAGAATATGTCTAGTTTGGTGTATATGCATGTATTTTGGACAGGCGACTAAGGACATCGTGCGTTTGCCACGCCCCAAGTCCCCTCCAGTCGTTCGACTGGAAACTCGATATGAACTCGAGTACGGAATGCCTTCGACTCATGCAATTGTTGGGACTGCCCTTCCTTTTTCGATGCTTATTTTCACCAGTGGGAGATATGAGGTAAGTTAACGCCGCTTGTCTCGGATTCTAAATATAGTCGACAGGTTGACATAGAGTAACTGTCACAAGACTCGCAACCAATGGGGTGGATGGATGAGCTAGCGAGGCTGGTGATGACATAGTTACGTGAAATATGTGGTATACTATCATTCATTCGGTTCATATTTATTAAAGTAGGCAACAGGTTGTCAGAGCATAAAGTAAGAGACACTGAACCCAACTGATGGGTAGCTTTGGTTAGTGGATGATACTTTGTAGTTATAATAATTGTAATTATGTAGGAGTAAAAAAAACTTACACCTCGGTTCTAAAGGCAGTATCTTACTATTAGGACTTTTGGTTGAATAAACATACATGTTTAAATGACACATTACCAAGAAAAAAATGATCAGTTTTTTGGTGTATGCTGGATTTAATTATCTTCTCTTTATTATTTAATTAAATTTGAGATTACTATAAACCATATATGGCAATATGAATGTGGCATTTCTAGTTCCAATATAAGTTTAGATCAGTACATCTAGATGAAGATGACTTGTCATGCGATGTTCCACGGATGGGTTTTGGGACAGTGGACATACGCCTAGTTAGCGAACATTGCCGTTTTGCTGTTTAATTGTGAGTTGAACTGAGACACTTTTACTTAAAGATAGACATGATCTTTCCTCCAGTGATTTTAGCTGACTGTCAACTACAAACCAAGAAAGGGGATGCTACAGAGTGGGGCCTGTAATAAGCAGGGGGTAAAGCAGCGGTTTAAGAAATAAGCACCAGGCTTATATGCTGGGTTTCTAATAAACGGGTTGAGGCTAAAACATCACCACAGTAAAACGGCACCTGGCGAAAACGGCACCATTTGGACATAACGGAACCGCGACTTGGCGAAAATGGCTACAAATCTTATGACGAAAACGGCACCAACTAAAATCATGGGGAAAACTGGTTTGTTATAAGATAATTGGATTGCAGATAGTAAGTACATCTACTATACTGTTATGTCGGAACTATCAAAATTTAAGAACAAGGATGTATTTTTATATTCAAGGATACGATGTGAAAGCTACTTTATACGGTAACGGCGCATTGAATAACTCAACTAATAGTTACATCCTGAACTTCAATGTAAGGCAAGCTTTATATAACTTGATTTTCTGCGGCTGCTCATTTCGTTGCTAGGCATAACCAACACCATACCGAACATATTTATTATTCAATCATTTATCTGTTATTTTGTCAGTATTTTTCTTTTGTTGTCAAATTATTTCAATTATGTATCCAGCTATTGGAACAATGTACTGGAGTTGCGTCTATATAAGCCACTAGGCTTGTTCGCCTATCCAGGTTTCTTTGACGAAATAAAAATGTGTTTAAACCCAAAAGATCTACTGTGCCGATAGTGATTGGAAATGGGCATCCCATAGCTGATAATCGGATTGCAGAATGTTTAGATAGTAAATACATCTACTGTGCCGTCAGTGATTGGAAGAGGGCATCCCAATTTAGGGTGAAAATATCGCAACCTTTGATGTTTTAAGTACATTTACTCAACTGAAATCACCAGTGTCAAACTCAGTGTCAAAATGAAATTGTATTTAAAATGCACAAATGTACCCATTATTTACCGTTGCCGAAATACCTTAGTTGTGCGTGCGCCGTTAAATAAAGCAATTAACAACAACACATTGTTTGTTAGTTTTATGGTTTTATGGGGATTTTTTTTCTTTTTTTGGTATACATAACATAATATTATTTCTGAATATACATTAAACATAAATTATGCAACCTTAATGATGTTTCATATTTCATATTTTACCATTTCTATTAGACATTTCCTGAAATTGTGTCACTGCCGTTATGAAATTTGTAACATCATTTTGAAAAGAAAAAATCCAAAGATAATATTTATTTAATGTACATATATATTAACAAATCTAGTTTTACAATATAACATGGCTAATGAGTTTTGAAATTGTATATTTATTGCTTATGAAAAAGACAAACAAAATCAAATGGCACATCTGTGACATCAGCCACTGGAGTTGTGAAACATGAAAATTGAGTAAAATTGGGTGGTGTAAAGTAAATTTAAAAATATATTTTCCCTAATTTTGTTACTGTAAAGTGTAGAATATACTGGGATAAGTTAGTTACCATAATGTTTTTTGTTTGATTTTAACTTAAGTTTGTCGGATACAATCATCTAACATAAATATGCAGATTTTGAGAATGACTCATATGTTGATATGATCTTGCTAATGTTATAATGAAATGAAATACAACATAAGTCAACGTTATACTTTGTTTTATATATGGTGCCGTTTTAGCCCAGAAATCAGTAGCCGTTTTCGCCAATATGGTGCCGTTTTCGCCAAACAAATTTGGTGCCGTTCTGTTGTGGTGCCGTTTGAGCTATAACCCCTAATAAACACCGGGTACATTTTTTTATAAATGTATTCTCCCATGATCCAAAAATAGATTTATTAAGGAATGATCCCTTTAGTCATAACTTCTGTCCTCCAAGTCCGTTGAAAAAATAAGCCCCCAGGTGCTTATTAGAGGAAATACAATATACTGAGACTTTTACTAGGTAATGACAACTGGCATGCTTCGTGATGTCGGTTACCAAGGGTACGTTTGATTAGGAGAGGGTATCACGGGAATGGCGTTATGACGTCAGTGCAGTGTGAGGTAATGCAAAAAGTGTACTTTATCGCCTCATAAAGTACTGTCAGCTCCTTTGATCTTTTAGCGAAGCATCTTAGAATTCAAGGTGAAGTTGGCAAAGTATTACACTGTTCAGCTTTCCATTGTGTTGAATAGACAAAACAGGAATTAACATAAACATAGTAACATGGTGTTCATTTAGTTTATTTCATTTTCTTTACATTCTGTTCACATTCAAACATACATTTCACATGCGACTTGATAGTTTTGCGGGGGGGTATTAAAATGGACTCCGTCCGTGCATCCGTCCATTTCTTCACCAAATTTGGCACATACATAGCAGGGATTTACATGGACTCCTGCTTTTGAGGGTCCCTGGGACTCATACTCTAAATTATCAGGGGTCCTGGACAACAAAATGGGGTCCCAGATACTTAAATATTATTTTAAATTCTGTTATTGTATTTGTGTATCATGATCATCACATTGTTACAGTAATTAAATTGCAAATAATACCATAACACAGCTAGTAGCAAACTCAGTGATAAGTTATTGTCACTTGATTGGAATTTTTACAAAAAGTATTTGGACTTTGTCTGAGTCCCTGTGCTAATAAATAGCGTCCATTGTCCATTATTATGCGTGTAGGACGCAGGAGTCCGTGTCCTGTAAATCCCTGACATAGACCTGGTGGTGTACTGGTGCCTTTTGGTGGTTTTGGATTTCTGAATAAAATATTTTTGGCATTTCCATGGCAACAAGTTTGACACAGACTGAAATTGGTGTTAGTGCTCCTTTCTGGAGCAGAACTTTAAAAAACCTTTCAATAGTCTCCTTCCACTTTTCTATATACATACCTAAATATTTGACATAATCATAACTCGTAGACATAATCATGAAGAGTATTTTGCCATTGAAGGGGATATTGATGACTTTGTCTTCTTGTTTTATGTGAGGTGAGGTGAAATTTGTTTTTTAAATATTTGTTCATTTTGAAGTTTCTTATTTGGGTATTTGTTTACAGTAAACTAGGTTTTTAACTCAAGAATGAAACATACAACTTTATGATGACAATTTCTTGTTTATTGGATTAAGCAACGTTTCGATGTAGATTCTTACATTTTTATCAAGCGTCTACATCGAAACGTCACTTAATGCATTAAAAAAGAAGTTGTCATCCATAAAGTTGTGTTTCATTTTTGACTCACCAACTTCTAGAATATAACTAACTGACAGATATAACAAATTGTGTTTTGGTCCTATTTGCTGCATTTATTATCACATATAATGAACATGCCCATAATGAACTGACAGATAGAGCTAACACACTTTGTGGTCTGGTGTGTTCCTCTGTCAACATCAGAGTTCATGTTTATAATGAACTCTCGATGCCTGAGCTGCTCACCCATCGCCAGTCAGTCTGTCAAAGCTTTAGCAGCCATGTTCAAAGCAGCAATAAGCAACTGAAAGATGATTAACTGGATTTAGTTCTGACACCTTGTCTCAATTTATGCCTTTCAATAAACAATAGCAGAACAGCAGCGATTAGCCTGTGGTTTCTGAAGTGGATATAGTTGGTCTGAAAATGTGACAACTAGAATTAGTAAACTTTAGTAAGGGAAAAGTTATGATGACAGACACACGTTTCAAGTGTGAAGCATTAGACTTCATTGTTCGATGTATGTCAGTGAAACTGTCTGCTGTCTTAAAAATGTCAGTGTAAGAAGCTCTCTCAAATTTGTACCTGAACACAGTGCTGATAATTTTAAAGACCTACCACCCCTACTGAAAACCAACCAGTCTTTTTAACATTTTCAAAAAGTATTCTGTGATTAGATATCTGAGAAGGTATGTGTGATAATCTATATATAAATTCATAACATCCACTACAGTCTGTTTGGGTGAAAGTGCTACCGATGCATTACAATCGCATTCCAAGTCAGTTCATGATCAAACATTCGTTTCAACACAGGATGTTATGAAAACACATTGCTGCTGATAATTTTTCAACATCAGGAGTACGTACTCCTTATTTTTTCAATACAAGAGTACTGGAAAACCTTAAGAGTACATTTAGAATACTGAATGGAATTTAATGGAGTGTCAGTAATCTTGTGTTTCATTTCATACATGCTCCACAACATTGCTACTCTTGTGTAAACTGGTCAATAGACAATAAAACAATAATTTTTCAGATAAATACGTCTGTAAATGATTCTAAGACCATACACCATTGCTGTGTTGCGTATCTTCTATGTTTTCTAAATTATTTCCTACCGTATCATGTATATTTTCTATCCGTACATACGGGTAAAGTAACAGGTCAGGAACAGCCT